ATTCTGCATTAGAAAGCGAATAAATCATCACGATATATCTCGATACGGTGGGGGCTGCTGCTGCTACCGATCTCTCACCGATCTTTGGACCGATCGCAGGCGCTCATTTCCTCGTTCCGGAGACATGTCGTCGTCGTCGTCGTAGTCGTCGTGGTCGTGTGACACACACGCGGGGACGCGGCCTTACGTATACGTACATAAATGATATAAAATACATAATGATTCGCGTATGTCAAGAGCATTATAATAGCCCCGGTAATAGTTGTCAGCAGCAGCAGCGGCAGCAGAAGCGGAGCAACTCATTAGCCGATCGTATTCTTGCGGTTGTGTTGTTGCTGTTGTTGCTATCGTTATTATTATTATTTCGCTCTCTGCGCCCATAAGCGAATTTCACTCGGCCGTTGCCGCCGTTGCGGTGCTAAATACATTCGCGGAATTTAATTGGAGCGTATATAAGTGTATAGCTCTGTGTGTGAGTATAAACGCGCAGCTACGCCCTGGAGATGGCGTAGTCGAGCGCACACACATACACACGATATAATATGTGATTTTAGAGGCGCGTTTATTGACTTCTCTATTTCTCTATATATCCCCGCTATGCTGTATCGAACCGCTGCGCTGCAGTGTACCACTTAATTTCCTCAAATTGCACGCTCATTTCGCTCCATTACGGGCCGCTAGTGCAGTCGTGTCTATAAGACCGATGATTTTCTTTTTTTCGTTCGATACACGCCTACCTCTACTACCTCTGCTGCTGCTGCTCCATACGTCTCATCTCATTAGTCATTTGTGCGTTCGATATGCAGTACCATACGCATATCGTACGTACGCATTCACACGTTTAATTTTACGAGCTCGATCGTGAAAAAAAAAGAAAGAGGAAAATTTTAATGCTCGGTCATGAGAGTGGTAAATGCTCTGCTCTCGATTACATACATCACGAAGCGGCGTTTTTCAATTGTAATTTGTCATCGTTTGACATAAAGAGAGAGGCTAAACACATATCAATTTCGGAAGCTGCCTAATAAGTGCCGTTTCTGATCAGTAAATTAACACCAGGAATACTTCGAGGAATATATATAATATTTTAACGCTTATATTACATCTCTCGTGCATCTCGCGGCTGTATGCATACACACATGTTGGTATAATAAATGTCGACCGCGCGACGCACGCTTATATATACGCGCCTGTATATTGTAATTATCCTCGCGGGCTCTTTTTAATGTTTGGCGCGCACGAAATGACGCGTAAATGGCTCATTTTACAGCGGCGTATTATATCGACGCCGCTTCGCGCGCTCGCGGTAAGTAGTTTTTCGGAAATCACAACGACTTTCTAGTCGAGCGATGATAATGATCCACGGCTCGATTTAAATTGTAATTTTCCAAAACAAAATCGAGCTTGTGCGCCGATCGCCGGTTATCTAAATGGAATCGTTAGATTAATAATTTTTACAAGGTATACAAGTTTTTTTGTTTTGTGAATTCGAATTTCAATTCGAACTGCTCTTCAACTCTGTAATAAACTGAGCAGTGAAAAAAATGTTTAAATTTAGTAAAAATTTAATGAAAAATTAGTCATTAAAATGACAGGATACTTTTATATCAAATTTGAAAATGATTGCATCAGTACTGATTTACATTAGTACATAGACTGCACAAAAAATGCATGAACATACAATCGTATATACATGTTTTAATACAAAAATGTATAGGGAAATCCATTCAATCTTAATTGATGCCAACCTCCACACTAGATGGCGAGTAACTATATCTGTAAATCTGCAAGTGTTAAAGTAAAGATTTATGTATATGTCTCGGTTTTCAAAGATTTTGATTATCTGGTGTCATGAAATGCGGAATCGAAATTCAGAAATCTTGTATTCAAGCAGAAGGATAAGACGAAAAAATCATTGAATTTAATTTAAATCACATCGACTTGAACGCATTTACCCTAAATTAAATTATGAAGAGGAAAATGCCTTTTTCCACTTTACACTTATTTCAATAGCAACATTTTTGAAAGTGTGAATCTTGAAAAAAATTGCGCTTCAATATAGAATCGTCGATTTAGCTGATGATCGACTCTGTATAATAATTGGAAAAAAGCATCATCCATTCTCTTTTTCTCTCTTAAATTGTCCTCGATACAAAAGAAACAGCTATTTTAATTTCTTTCTGCAGCAGCTACCGGTGCGGCTGCTGCACTTATGGTCGCCGAGCTCGTTACAGCTAAATACGTTTACGCGCGCGGGACAATGCCAGACGAACAAAAAAAAGCTTATTAACGAGCAATCGATGTAATAGCGAACGAACGACAGATTACTCTCGTTGGCGTGGCACTGGTGAGTACGGCACGAATGACGCGCGTATACAATAATAAAAATGGCCGCGACAGATGTAAACAATTAAACGTCACACGTGAGAGAGAGAAAAAGCTCGTACGTACGTGCCCAAGATCGTAAATTAATTATTTTTCCGTTCGTTAACACGCTTATTACCAGGTAAAGATCATTAGCTGTCTAATAGGTTACACAGACGCGCGTGTGCTCGCACGATTCTCATTCGGAATCGAGCGTTCAATTGGTTTTAACGGATATTTTAAAGATAAAACATGTCGTCGTCGTTGGCAGAAAAAGCGGCGCACGCCAAGAACCTTTATGCAATGCACATTCAAAACGTGCAAAACACTTCAATTACACGATTTATATAAGAATTCCGCGGGATACAGAAAAAAAACAACGTTTATGTAGCAGCCGTACATATAAACTGCGTTATAACGTCTCTCGATTCTCGATAAAATGTACATAATATACGGTCAATAAAGAAATCTTTGAATTATCAGCTCGAGAGAACGAGTGATGAATTTTCGTTCGAGCGGTGTGGCCGAGAAAGAACGTTATCGCGGATAATTGCGATCGAGTCCCCGCTTTACGACACGTCCTCTCACTCGAGCGCAACTTGTCTTGTAAATGAATCTCGCGGTATTATATACATCGCGCGGAAACGAGTAGTGTGCCAGCTGCCCAATGCTTATATCGCACGACTTCTGTTCTATAATCGGTCGCGGCTGGATCGGGAAGAAAAAAATATTTATATTCTTGTATTTTTATAATAAAGTGGGAAACGATTCAACGTCGTCGATCTGAAATGCACCAAACCACAACACAGTTAGCTCCCGACCGATTCGATATCGAGGATCGGTATTATATTATTTATATATAGCACACATCTATATCCTGAACCCCCTCGAGCGCTCGGCTATTAACGTTGCATTAATTATAAAATATACGTGACTTTTTTTTCGCTCTACGTTCGCGGCAGCAGCTCGGGGATTTTTTACAGACACGCGGCAACGAGTTTTTTTAATCGGTATAGACGAACAAAAAAAACAAAAAAAAAATGCGAGAAGGAGAGCTACGCACACATCACACGTATTACCTATAAATATCGTGAATTATATCTTATAATTATGAGCAGAGACTGCGCACGTGACTGCAGCGTGGCTATATGTACTGGACCACATATAAACTATACAAGATACATGTATTTTATGAAAATATGCGGTGCGGGTAATGTACACGGCGCGAAGGGCGTGGCCGTATGGCGTACTTGCGAAAGTACGCGTACATGCATACGCGGTGGTACACTTGAATATTATATTATGCGCGCCTTGGCGACCTTGCGCGCGTATACGTTTGCCGAAGAAATGCCTGCGTATTATAATATATACCATAATGCACCGAGTCATATCTCACAGTACATAGACTTGAGCAGGCTTCGATTATAAATTAGTTATCTTCTATTTGCGACGTCCTTCACCCTCGAGACGGCGCGTCGATGGGGTCACTCGTTGCGGATGAGAGGATGTTGTACGGAAGACAATTGTGAGCTCTGCTGTGTGTGTATATGAATGGTTAACAGTCATGATGGATTTTTTTCATCGATCATTATCGATATCGAATTTTTTATTTTTGCGAACATTGTGATACAGCGATGTAACAAATATGTATCGAGCGCATTTTGAATTATCTGATGATGCCAAATTGAGCGTTTGAAAAAAGGTTACTCCTGTTTCGCCAGATGGCGAATGCATCTTCGCCCATAAATCTGCAAGTGGGAAAGTTAAAAATAACAATATTAGTCAAGACTTTGGGTTCGAACAACATCCATATTGTCTCTTGTGGGATCATACATTTCAAATTTGACAGTTATAATGCGACCTCATATCTAATCACAAGTTTTCAAATACTAAAATGATTACGCTATTAAATTCAAATTAACGATTACAATTTCATTGACGTTTTACGTATAAAATGTACACTATATATGTAAAACAATTCGTTTCCCAGCAGAAAACGCAAACAGAGCGAATAAGGGGCTCTGCCTATGCTATCCTGTATACTACTATTATTATTGACGTGTATGTTATACACGCAGGCGGCCCTCATTAAGCTACGTTTACTTTTTTCTTTGGGAAACGAATCGTTTTACCCATAGTGTAGATGATTAAATAAAACGGAGTCGAAAGTGACGAGACTTTACTTCTACTAGTTTTAGTAGATAGTAAGCTAGTAAGCGTAGTCAAAGTCCCTACTTAGCTATACTTACGATTTCTCGCCGGTACAGAATTACACTACCAATGGTGTACGCCGGTCCGAGTTAAATTCCTTACAAGCGAGAAAACGTAAACGTAGCGAAGTTGGGGCTTTGCCTGGTCAGTCTAATGAGCTTGGTAAGTGGCGCTCCGAACCAGTGGCCTATGCGCTCATGCACTACAACGCATGTATACGATTACGATGAACACATGGCTCACACATTCAGAGATTTGATGGCATTCTAAAGATCTACGCTGCAGCAGCAACACCAGTTAATTTTACTTTTCTTTCCTTTCATTTCTGGGTTATTCCGGTAATAGTTTCAAACACGTGCTCGGTGGTGCTCAATGTTCAGTGCTTAATTTTATAAATAAACGACGAAGTGTCATCAATCGACAAAATGTCATTGGCTTATTATTTCCATTTGTGGAGATTGAAGTTGCATTTGAGATTCATCGGAGACCCAAGGACCAGAAGACAGGAATATTGCCGATTATTCAAGAAGTGGCTCGAGTCAAGCAGAGGAAAGTCGAAAGGCATGGCTCTATTGGATCTCATCAACTGCACCAAGCTGTTTCCCAGCGTCGAGGACAAGGAGTTTTTCCTCAAATTCGGTGTAGACGAGGTCTGTATCGATATATTGAATCAGCTCCGACGGGGCAACTTCAACGTAGACGAATTCAAATTCGAGAACGGTAAGTCCGTCGTGCACGAACAAGCCGATCTATACGAATGCAGAGATATTTTCGAGTCGAAAAGAAAGACCAAGCAAATCCTTCGATATTTCTTGACGTATGATCCGCAAAGAAATTACCAAGACGATCACGGCTACACGTATCTGCACGGGGCCTGCATGATGGGCGAGTTCGAGGTGGTGCTTCAGTTGCTGCAGAAAGGAGCGAGGGTCAACCTGGACACCTGGAGATGCTCCCCTCTGCATCTCGCCGCCCAGTACAGACACCTGGCTATCGTCCGATTGTTGCTGCACAGCAAGGCCGATCCGAATCAGCAGGACGAGGACGGCGCGACGCCTCTTCACGCCCTCTCGTGGCCGTGCAGGTGTCACTGCAGCGACCAGTACTTCTGCGACACGAGAAAACCCGTCGACGGCATCGTCGAGGCGCTCCTCGAGTACGGAGCCGATCTCGAGGCGCGAAATCGTCACAATGACACTCCGCTGCAGACGGCGGTGATGCGCCTCGACGCCGATCTCGTTCGGGCCCTCTTGAGACGCGAAGCCAGAGTGAGAAATTTGCAGGAGCATCGAATCTTCCTCTCGGACTTTACGCCTCTGGAGCTGAAGTGCTACCCTCTGCCGTTGCACATCATCGAGGTGATGAAATTATTGCGCGGGAAACGCTATAAAATGAGTGTCATGACCAGATTCAGGATGATTCAATTCTGGATAAGAGTTCGCGGATGCGACAGGGATCATATACTCGCTGACGATTGTGGTATGCGTCATTTATTGCTCATCTCGCAATAAAATAACTTCATCTCATTCTATAATTTTTTTTCTTTTGTGTAGGGGACAGCGATGAAATAGATCAATTCAACTTCGATCAGATTTTAAAGTATCGATACCTCAACGAAGAATTCGGCTTCCATTTTAAACCGGAAGTCCTCGTTTTCTTGGCACGACGATACGGACAGCTGAAACCAGTAGTGCAACGGAGCTGGTGGATGCACCAGCTCAGCGTAAGAGAAAGGATCCATTTGACCGAAGAAGTCGAAAAGCTGAAATTTATCGATGTGGCCAGAAACGTCACGCTCTTTAAGCTTTGCCAGCTGGACGATACCGAGGCCGCACTGGCACTTGGAGACCCGGCAAAATGGAGCGTCCCGTCGTTGCAAATTTTGAGATGCAGCTTCTTGAGCATCGCCGTGAAGAGACACCTGGCCAACGTCCTGGCCAGGTCCCAGCTGGAGCTGGACTTTCTCGTGGCCGATATTTTGTCGGACAGCATGACCGAAGGGGACGAGGAGATGAATTTCTGTTCCAACCTCAAGTTCAGCTACTCTATGAACAACGCGAATCTGTTGCATTTCTTCGACCAGATGTGCGAATGTAATACGGAGCGTCCGTGCATTGAAAATATCAAATAGTACGGTATACTGGCGCGCTGTGGTGAGCCCAGAGGCCGACAGCGATAGTACCGGCTACTCGATTTTGCGGTCAATTTTTTTTTTTTTTTTTTTTTTTTTTAATAACAAATTTTGATTATTTACAGTTCGTCTGGATATAGACAATTATCAAATACATTTAACGATAATACAAATGTCCCAGTTCTAAAAATCATGGGTGAATTTTGTCCAAACGACAAAGATTCTCATGAATAGCTCAGGAGCTTGACAAGGAAAAAATCAACATTACTAGTCAATAATATAGTGATGCATACTAGAATAAAGTCAAACTAGTGTGCCTATAAATCATTGAAAAATAATATACGTACAATAGGCCACTGTCCCTATTTTCGCTCAACTTTGAATTGAATTTTGGTCTTAGGTCAAATCTTGATTGTATAATTTAATCATATAGTTTGTAATAATAATAGAATTAGTAGTAGATCATATTATAATTAATAATAGTATATTTTTGTTAAACATTCTCGACTCGTACAAACAATCTTCTTAAATTTTTATTGTATAAAATTGAATATAGATCTCAATTATTGAGTGAAAATAGAGACATTGACCTTACTGAATAATTTGTTAAGATTAGTACTTGATGATGCTACGCGCATATTCTACTGAAAATATGTCGTACGCCAAAGATAAGTCGTGGTCCTATTTTCGACTCTCAAAAGAATATAGTGCGTATATTTAAAATTGTAGGTAGGTAGGTCTTTTTTTTACAAGAACATTCTTAAAATAAAAGTTAAACAATGTAAAGTTCAAGAAGCTTCTTCATTGATTTCATGTTAATAAAAAAATTCAATCCAATAATTGTAAAGCCCAAGTCTATAACTTGATACAATTACGATCCCTCATAAACATCTGAGCTTGATTTGTTTACCACAAAGTGTGGTAGTACCTCAGTAATCGAAGCAGACGTGTGCACATACGCACATAAAAACTTGCAAACTCAAAAGCTCGAGTGAGAGCTTGATTTTTATGTATCGTCCGATTGTACGCAATAACCATCAGTTTCATCGTCGATCATCGAGATCGAAAATCGCGGATAATGGAGCGATTGTCACTCGGGCTGACTGACTGACTGACTGCTGGCATGCGGCCGGCTGCATGACACACGGCTCAATCGAGTGCATCCGCGAGCACATTATAATATTGCGCCAATCCGCGCGACGAATGTCGAGAACGGGAGGTCGAATAACAAACATCGAAAATCCATCGAGCTGTTGCGCCGCCGCCGCCGCGCTGCCCTCTAATTACAATCGCTATAAGCGAAGAGAGAGAGAAAGGAGATACAGTCGCGAGTTCTCTCGAACGTCCTTTCGCTTGCGCGCGCGCCTATATAGATATATATACCGAATATAAGTGTATAAGCAACTCCGCTGCGAGGCGGATAAATGTGCAGCGGTAAAGGATCGGCGGCGGCGACACTCTTGCTTTCTGGCGTTGCAAGGTCGACCGAAAATCCGGTTACCTTTCGATGTTGCGCAATTTTACATTCACTATAATGTTCCCTATATAAATCCAGCCGCCGCCGCCACCAACGCCACTTATATACTACTACTACTTGTGCGCGGCTGCCACTATTTTCCAACTTATAGACTATAGTGCTTTGCTTGGATACTCACCCAACGGGCCGTTTTATAATGTTTAAGTAATTTTTTTTCAATTCGGTAGCTCGAGGGAAATCTCGACTTTATTGTGTTAGTTCCCCATAGTTTGTAATTAATTTTTCTCATGTTGTCGATGAGAAAAAAACTGTCCCGCATGATCAGAAATACGAAGTCTGACTGTATTCGCATACAAATTAGTAAACAGACAAACATTTTTTGATTCCTATATACTATAAGATATAGCCAAATGAATTTATTGCTATGTTGCTTCATCGATCGAGCGAAAAAAATAAGTAAATAAAAATAAAAAAACAAGAGTTGTACAGTTGACATTCTTTTACAGAAAAATATGTCATTATTATAGACAAAAATACAGTCTTATAAACACCATATAAATTTAGAAAATTATCATGAATTACAATTCGGTATTCTTTAAAATTACAACCTATAAACTACGTTAATTTCATTTCAACTTTTTGCGAGTAATTAAGACGCGAGCACACGATACAAATTACGCACGATGAATTCGTACATATATATAACTATATACGTAATTAGCTTTTGGGAAAGTACACGTAGCGTTGATGCGAAAATGCCAGGATCTCCACCCTGAATTGAACAACAATCGTATAAGTGCGCCGCTGCCGCATGTTTATGGCTCATTGTCTCGTCTTTATATGCGAATTTTGCGTGTGTGCCAACGAGCTCGCGCACTTATACAGCGAGCTGTTACTCGAAAAAAAAGATAATACCGCTCGAGAGGCCCCGGCGCTTTATTAACTCTCTTGAAGATCGCGTATATAGTAGTTGTGTTACACGTACTTACGAGTGTGCGCGCAGTCCGAAGTGCAGTCCATAACGTATTATTTGTTTTTACGCAACTGCGGCACACGAGGTGCAATTCGTGTGTGTATGTGTGTGTGTGTGTGTGTGTAAGGCACGCGTTAAATGTACGGCGAAGCGCATACTTGTCTCTCTCTCTCTCTCTCTCTCTCTCTCTTTATATCTCTCTCTCTTGATGAAGATGTTTAAGCATGGCGAATCGTGATACCTTGCACCGTATAAAGACACTTATATATACGTAGGTGCAGTATAAAGTAAAGCCATCGATCACGACTTGCCAGTTAGGCTTCTTCTTCATCTTCTTCTTCTTTTTTTTCTCTCTCGAGCGTCGCAATTCGAGCCAATATAAACCTCTCTCGAGTGTATAAAGAAAAAAAAAAGAAAGCTCAGCACCGCGCCAAGCCACCGACAATTGCTCAACGCGGATAAAAGTCGTACGTACACCCTGATAAAAAAAAAGAAGGAGTTAGCAGAATTTCAACTTCTGAAGTGCAACAAAAGTGTGTGTGTGTGTACGCAATTCTAGGATCACTTTCGCGCTCAACGAGATCGAAAGGAAAGAAGGAAAGAAGGCAGAGAGAGAATACCGCAAAGAGACTACTGCAATCTACCTGTCAGGACGTGATATTTCGTGAATATATACCTATAGATATATACTGAACGAGAGTCTACTTTTACGTTTAATAAATCGGTGCGCGCAATTGCGCAAGCGGGGGGCAACAATCACTCTCGGGGGTTCGGGCGCCTTTCGCGCGTGCACTAGCTTGACAACGATACGACGGAAAAAGCCGCACGGAGAGGATTAAGTATATCGGTTATAACAAAATTTTTGACTCGAGCTCCATTAATAACAGATTTGGTACTAGAACGATTTTTGAAAACGCCAACTGCAACTATGTAGCAAATTCATCGGTTGATCATTAATCAGTCGCGCGCGCACACAGGGCGAATTAATAATGATGAAATCGCGACCCGCGCGCGCGATGTCTGGTGTAATTTTTTCTTTATCTTTCATTTCATTAAGCTCCTCCGCCTGTATCGAGTTTTAGGCGCGAGCAGCGTGATTATAAACCGCAAATCGTTCTTAAACATAGTTATGGGTGTGAGGGGGTATTTATCCTCTATACATCGAGTGCATCGCTCGCGTGACAGTTTAAAAAAAATCTCACAGGCGCCAAATTGATCGGTCCTTACAAAATAGCTCGCGAGCGAAAAACACCATTATTTTTGGGATTTATTATTGCAGTGGCTTTGGCGCGCGCGTGTGAATGATTGATGTTTCATGCCTCGCTCGCTCGGCTGCCGCTAAGGAATTACCTCACGCTAAATTAAATATTAAAAAATTGACGACTGCGTGCCAGCTAAAGCTAGATCTAGCGTGGAGTCTTGCGGTCAATTATGACATAGATCATAATTGCACGTTCGTATCTATCTGTGCGCGCGAGAGCTGTAGAGGAGCTTTATAAACCGCACGGAGGAGATCGATATCGATCCCATACATATATATGCCTCTTACTCGAGCTACTAGCATGAGAGGCACACTTTTTTCTAACGGTCGTTATAGACCGCGCCATCGAAACTGTATCAAGTATAGATTGCCTATTTTCCACGCAGACGACGACGACGACGTCGACGTGCGGGGAGGGAAAAAATGACTTTTCGCTCGATTCTCAGGATTATACACAATTAACTCGCAGCGGCGTGCTGGCGATTGCAATAAGCGCACAGCGGTGGCAATTTTCGTTGATTGCGCGCGCGGGCAGCTATCGATAATGATATGAATCGATGAGAGAGAGAGAGAGAGAGCCCAAAAATTTCCACAAAATACACGGTTTAGCTGGGGCGTTTATTTATTTTTTACAATTTTTCCGCGATTTCAATCAACCTAATTGATTGATCGTTAAAGTTTTGAAATTACCCGCGCGATAAACGAAAACGATTGCTTTTTCTCTAATTTATATCTTAATACATCGATTTCGTAAAACTGATTTTAAAATTGTGTAACCATATTTTTTTTCTTATTTCAATGTTTGCAGAATGTCAACGAATCACTCCCAGAAGTCCGCGCGCCAGCCGCAACACCGGCCTCGAGTTCGAGTGCCCGGAAGAGTTCGGCTATTATCCGCATCCGCGCGACTGCACCCAGTACTACGTCTGCGTCTTTGGCGGCGCCCTGCTCGAGTCCTGCACGGGTGGCCTCATGTACAGGTGAGTCTCCTTCAAATTATTATTATTATTGTTGTAGAAAATGTTCGACACAGCCGCGTGCGACAAAAGAAATCACGACTTTTTCGAAGGAGAATTGAATTATTATGTCAGGCCTGTATCATAAACGTGAGAAAAAGCTCCTCGACTTTTGCGGCGGCGGCGGCGGCGGCCTTGTTAATAAACGACAATGGTCAGCTTGCTCGTGCAATGCAGCCTTTCTTTCTCTTTATCCAGCGAGTGGGACACAAAATTTTTTAGAGAAATCGTAGCTATATATATAAAAACGAGTGTGTATCTCGTGTCTGTCTGTGTGGGATATACCATTGTGTATGTGTGTGCGAACGACAAAATTGACGTAATTTTGAAAGTGAATTTATAAAATGCCTCTCTCGCGACGCAGTCCGTACTTTGTGTGTGTGTGTATTATAACGGGCGCGCGCAAAACTTATGCAAGCAGACGCAGAGTGCGCGCGGGGATCCTAATTGGGCGCACTATACTCGCTGCGAACGTGACTCGCCGCGGAAGAAAAGTCCGGGCTCGCGCGAGTTTTGGCCCTTTCTCCTCTTATAGGCTTTTTTTGCTTTCGTTGCCAGCCTCGAAAACACCGTGCCTATATCCGCTTGGCATATCTGCGTGTGTGAGAGTATGTGTGTGCGTATACATTATATGCACATGCCTGCATTGCAGCAGCAGCAGCAGCAGCAGTAGGACATGCATAATTTTTCATTTTTTTTTCATTCTCTCGTGCCTTTTTTTTTATTTCCTCTTATTTCGCTCTTATTTTCCTTCCCGCGCGACCGACCGACCGACCGACGCAACCACGCCCCGGCATTATGTATACCGGTACGTACCGTATATGTACACGACTTTACGCGCGGGGCACATTACAGCTCACGAAATTTATAAGAATGTCCTGCTGCAAGTCAATGAGGTAAGCGCGCCGCGCAATTTAGTAATCATTTCAATCGACGTTATCTCGTCTTGTGTGTGTGTGTGCGCTCGCGTGTGCACAATTAGTTTGCAACAACTGGCGCGTTTGGCCTTTATAAAAGAGACGATTTTCTCTCTCTCCGTTAATATGAATTCGAGAGTCGAAGTAAATTATCCTTTATATAGACGTAAAAAGGGTATCGGTAAGAATTAATTTGCTACATAGATCGGTTACGTGTATCAAATAGGCGTGTGTGCACCTTCCCACGATTCCAAGCGTCGAACGTCTAGGAAAATAAAGCTTTGACAGTCGTGCTTTTGACATTATATCACCAAAAGTTCTATAAATAAATATAAAAGTCGACAGGAGGAAATTTCTCACAAGTTGCGGTGCGTTCGAGGAAACGAATAATCTTGTTCCTGGGCAATTATGTTCAGCTTCTATGCGCCCAAAGCCAAAATTTGTGCGTACAATCGTGCGGCCGAAATTGGACAACAAAAAATGTGTGCTCACACACACACGCTCACGGTAAATATAGCTCTATATACAAATGGTCATGGATATAAGGAGCTCCATTAGGTAGTTAACGCGGGTAACGAGATGGCATCGCACCACACGAGGCCTCGAGTCGGAATAATAAATATTCACGGCAGCAGACAAGTGAAATGAGCCGCGCGGCGCACGCGTGCGGAAGTAGAAGTGCTGCACGCATAACATTATAAGATTTCGTCCGTGTGTGTGTGTGTGTGTATGTGTGCGTATACATACAACTTGAGTTGCAAATCGAAAGTGCACATGCGGATGGATTACACTCGAGTATAGAGCGAGAGCAGCACTTGTGTATATTTATAGTGCGGAGGTGCGTTCACCTGCCGATCTCTCTCTCTCTCTCTCTCTCTCAATTGCTCTTTTATATGTACGCGAATGCGATCATGCGGGCGTTCGCGAGCTGCCATCGCATCGACGCGTATCTAATACTTATACCTCTTCTTGAATGATCGACTGCTCGCGGCTCTCTGTATCTGCTGCGTTATATCACCATATTTTTAAATTGACTGTATGCCGCCGGTGAGTTAAATATGATGTTCTAGGAGGATCGACTTGTACCGGTTGATTGCTCAACAAAGTGCAGAAGAGCTTTTATGTAAAGCAGGAGGTGAAGTTCTGACATTGGAGTCAAAAAGTTGCTCGATGCAATCAAACTCTTCTTCTCACAGCTGCTGTATAAAAGACATATAGAGTTTACACTTTTGATAATTTAAACATGAATAATAAATCTACATGTGCAATGAATAAAAAGTTTTGGTTTTTTTTTATATATTTTATTGTAAATCATATAAATTTCTATGTACAAAATTAGACAATCTGATATACAAGATCAATTTCTGCGCTTCTTGTTTCCACTTTTCTTCAACCTTTTTTGATATCCACTAGACTGTTCGGTATCATCTTCATCATCGTCCTCATCGTTCCTCCTCTTATTTTTTTGGGCTTTATTGTTTTCAATCTCCTTCATTTCCATCTTGACCTTTGCTCGAGCATCAACAACTCTGTTTGTGAGACTATCTATTTTACTCTCTTCGATTTCAAACTTATCCATTTTCTTTCCAATCAACTTTTCGATTTGTTGGAACTGTGCAATTTCATACACATTTACAAAGGTAATTGATATACCAGCTTTTCCAGCTCGAGCTGTTCTTCCAACTCTGTGGATGTAATCTTTGCTGTGTGTAGGAATATCGTAATTGATCACCACATCAATGTGAGGGATATCTAAACCTCTACTGGCGACATCGGTACATACTAAAGTTGATCGACTCTGGGCTTTGAACTTTTCAAGCGATGAAAACCTTTTTTCTTGTGACATTTGTCCATGTAATGGTACAGCCAAGTATCCTAGTTGACGTAGTAGTAAAGACGTGAGAATGGTACTCTTGCAAGTAGAACAGAAAATAATGAAACTTTGTCCAGACAATTTTTCTAAAATACTGATCAAATACTCATCCTTCTTTTGAACTTGAGGAAACACGTAATACTGTTTCAATTTTTCCACAGTCTGATACTTATTTGAAACTTCAACTTTTACTGGATTCTTCAAAGCTGCACGTTGTAATTTACGTACTTGATTGGTCATTGTAGCAGAGAACAAGAAAGTAGTACATTGTTTTGGTTTACACTTCAAAATTTTGTCCAATTCTACTTCAAAATTCTGGTTCAATATTCTATCAGCTTCATCCAATACCAAAAACTTGAAAGACTTCAAACTGAATCCCTTTGTATTTTCCATGTGTTCTATGAGCCTACCAGGAGTGGCAATAATAATATGTGGCTTCTTGGCGAGCATGAGCGCTTGTTGAGTTAAGTTTGCACCACCTATGATGACTGCACACTGGACACCAATACTTGAGCCTAAAGCCTCGAACTGCTGTCTGATTTGATCAGCCAGCTCTCTCGTTGGGGTCAAGATCAATGCAAAAAATGTTTGAGGCTTTTTGAGCAACGTATGCAGTATTGGCAGAGCAAAGGCTGCAGTTTTTCCTGAGCCAGTCTCTGCCAATGCAATTATATCTTTACCTTCTAATGCAGGTGGAATAGCTTGTCTCTGTATTTTTGTAGGTTTTGTCCAGCTCATGCCCTTGGCTTTTTCACACAAAACTTCATTCAAGCCCAGATCTTCGAATGTACAATCTTCATTCTCTTCGACTTGAGTGTTACTACTACTCGTTGGCTCGATTTTGCGCTCACTGTCACTATCGGAGTCCGACATTGTTTAATATAATAAGTTTAACAAACAACTTTTTACAATAACAACGAAGAGAATTTTAGACACACTTGTTTTCAAGAGTCAAGAGTCAACTATAAATGACATGTGCTGCGTGGCCCACGTGCAACTTGCAAGGTAAAGTAGGGTTCTATACAGATAGCGCCCTCGATCAGCGCGGTAGATACGAACGATGTCGCTCCGGCTTAGCTGCTGTTCGAGCTATATCACTCAAATTACTATTATCTTGTTTTATAATTTTTGCCAAATACTTCACTTGAATTCGATCTATTATTGATTATAATAAATATATATTTTGTGAAAACGCGAGTTTTGCTTTATTGGTGGCAAACCAATATAGCCGAATAAATAGATAATTGGACTTTTGTAAGATTCGAAAATTCATTCAGTCAATACTCATACTTTTTACTTTCACAGATTTTCATGGTCTCGAATTGAAAAGGCTAATAGTGAGCAAATTTTACAAGTTAATTCAAAATTTATCTTTACAAGGAAATAATTGTTTGAAATTTGTTTGTATTGGACTATTATAGGTATTATAGAAATAAATTGGTTATGCTTTTGATTATTTTTTATTATATTTTATTTTATTTTAAAATATGATTTTTTGTGTACAAAATTGGACGATCTAACATAGATCAGAGAAGATTATTTCATTAATACTGAGTTTAACTGCTGAGTTTCTTTTGTATACTTCATTTATTTGTATCTGGAATTCAATCGTCTAGAATGTATTATCTTCTTCATTATCAGCCTCTCTTTCTCTCTCCTTTGCCAGCTTTAAAACTGTAACAGCTTAGTTCATGAGATTATCTATTTCTATTTCATTGTTGAATTTGAAAAGAAGCCTTTTCGCTCCTATTATCTGTTGAAACCGTTGGTACACGTCAATATCATTCTTTGTAATGAAAGTAACTGAAGTTTCAGCTCCTCCAGTTCGAGCTATAGTTTTTATTCGATCAATGAAATCTTCACAAAAAGTAGGAATATCAAAACTGATCACCATATCAATTCGAGGAATATCCAAACCTTTACTTGCAATATCAGTACATACTAAAATTGAATCGCTGCGGGATTTGAATTTTTCAAGTGAAGACGATCTTTCTTCTTGTGACATTTCTTCATGAAAGGGTAAAGTTAAGCGCTGTAGCCAGGGAAGTTTTGTAGATATTTTAATGACACTGTGGCAAGAGGTACAGAAAATAATGATTTTACCCTTTGGCAATTTTTTTATAACTTTCAGCAAGTACGCACACTTGGATTTAAATGTAGTAAATGCATAGTAGGGTTTCAATTCTTTTACTGGTTTATCATTAGCTGTATCTTCAATCAGGATTTCTATTCTTAAGAACTCCCGTAATGAGTATGCTGTTGGGTTCATTTCAGAAGAAAATGCTAAAGCAGTACTTCCTCTCTTTATGGATCCCAAAAATCTGAATATGTCAGGATTACAGTTGTCCCGCGACATTTTATCCACATCATCTATCACTAGAAACCTCATACTATTCAAATTGAATCCCCTTGTGCTTTCCAAGTGAGACTTGAGCCTGGCAGGAGTGGCAATAATGAAATCCGGCATCGTGGCAAGCAAGCTTTGTTGCTGGAATACGTCTCCGCTGTTCGCAATGACTGCACATTCGATACCAAAGCTTTTCCCAAAATCCTCGAACTGCTGTTTGATTTTTTCAGCAGATTCTTGTGTCGGAGTTAAGATTACAGCAAAAATTGGATGAGAATTTGCTAGCCATGCTTGCAGTATCGCCAGAACATAGGCTGCAGTTTTTCCTACACCACTGGGAGCAGATGCAAATAAATTTTTACCTTCCAAGACGCGTGGAATAACATCTTTTTGTATTCTCGTAGGTCTGGTCCACCTCAATTGCTTGGCCTTTTCACAGATAACTTTGCTAAGGCCCAGATCCTCCAGTTTCTGTAGATTGTTTTTCTTTTGCTCGTGAATGTTGGTCCTCGTATCAAATAAAATATTGCTGCTAAAAACTGTACTCGCCATTTTTTTACTGAAATTGTAAAAAAACTTTACAAAAAAATTATTATATATTATATAAACTTTACAAAAAAATTATTATATATTATATAAACTTTACAAAAAAATTATTGTATATTATATAAACTTTGAACTTTGGACGCGCACGTGGTTGTAAATGACAACTGAACGAATGACGCGTGGCCCACGTGTTCGACTTACTTCTTCTGTGTGCGAGCGAGACAAGAGTAGAACGTTCTGGTGCGACTGCGAGAGCCAAATGGGCTGGGAGCTACTCGTTGGCGTCGGTTCTGTCGAACGCATTGCAGGAGTGGATGCGCGGCGGCTCGGCGCAGCAGCCCTGGTTGGTGGCAGTTTTGATCGTACCGCGTCGAGAGTTTGATAAAATTTCAATATCGTATTTTTTTCTACCGATACGGATTTCGCAAGATTTACAGAATTCTTCTGCTCAATCGTTCAATCATATCTTTTCGAAACTTTATTCTCGAATTTGAGCAGTGTTGTACTTATACCTTTGCTAAAAATTAAGTATAGAGATACTCACTCAGTCGGTAACACCATGATATCAAGCAATTCATATTAAATCTAAAAAATTGAGAGTGTCATTCGACAATTCTCGAGTGGACGCACATTTCTAATACACTTATTAACATTGTGGTCGAGAATTGGCGAATGACACTCTCAATTTTTCAGATTTAACAGAAATTGCTTGATATCCCGATGTTACCGACTGAGTGTGTATAGAGAGCCCTTAAACGGTCGATCAAAGCACAACTAAATATCGGTTTCTAAGTTTATAAACAGTAATGTATAAGTATAAAAACAATTTATTTGATCGTACTTACACTGAGAAAAAAAATTCATTGATTCAATTAAATTTTAATTTAATATTTTATACACTGTTAATTCAATCAAATGATTGATTGAAGCAATGAAAATTTGGTGAAAACAATTAAATATTTTGTTGGAAAAACAATAAACAAAATATTTAGAACAGTCAACAAATTATATTGTAATTTCTGTTAAATAATATTATGTACGATACTCGTGCCATGGGGACACTTTTCGGCCCAGCTATTAGGACCCTCGCTGCACTCGGGCAAAAAGTGTCCCCATGGCACGAGTATCGTACATAATATTATTTAACAGAAATTACAATATAATTTGTTGACTGTTCTAAATATTTTGTTTATTGTTTTTCCAACAAAATATTTAATCGTTTTCACCAAATTTTCATTGCTTCAATCAATCGTTTGATTAAATTAATAGTATATAAAACTAAACTACGCCGTGCCAAAAAGTGTTACTTATGGCACTTGAATCGTAAAGTACTATAAATGAAAAATATCAATTTCATTGGAATTATAGAATATTTTAATAAAATATATTATTGGATTAAACAAATATTTTTTCCCGTAAACGATTCTATTTCATAGTGTCAATGAAATACAATGTCTTAAATAAATTTCATAAAATCAATGAAATATTTATTTACTCTCATTAAATAGAATTGTTGCTTTAATAAAATAATTATATGATTTGAGTAATTCAATTTTCTTCATATCGCAACTAAATTTAAAAAAAAATGTATCAATTAGTGTTATCTAATTAATGTAATAATTAAATTGTAAAAATGTTGTATGAACACAATTCAATTTCACAATTGTAACAAAATAATTTCATTCATGCAATAAAATAAAAAAGACCATTTCAATGAAATTATTTCATAGATTATATTTAATTAAATAATTGCGTTGATTAAGGGGACCAACCTGTGTTAAAAGTTTAAATTCAAAAAATAGCTAAATAAATCGAAATAGTGGACATTTTTTTTTCGTGATAGTAAAATATGTTCATTAGACACCTGATTGACAAAAAAAAACTTCTACACAAGCTCTGAAATGCCAAATACGCCTATTTTTTCATAATACTAAATATTATAATAGGATTCACTTGCCACGCGATTCTGACGTGAGCTCTTCATCAATATTGATCTATGGGGTCTCAAAATCTTCAGAAAAGTACCCTTATCCACTTAGTTGTTTGTTTCTCTTCCAAGAGCTTAATTATGGCTTCTAGTGTTGATAAAATACTAATTTTCTCAAAAATTGACACATTTTGACGTGTATATAAAGTTGTACGCAATTGTTCTAAATTCTACTCCACTTAGGGGGATGAGGGTACTTTTCTGAAGATTTTGAGACTCTATAGATCAATATTGATGGAAAACTCTTTTCAAGATCATGCGGCAAACACAATATTTTGTCTTATGAAAAAAGTGATGTAATTGGTATTTCAGAGCTTGGGTGGAAGTTTTTTTGTCAATCTGGTGTAAAATGAAAATATTTTACTATCACAGAAAAAAATTTTCCACTCTTTCGATTCATATAGCTATTTTTAGCTGAAGCTGAATTTAAACTTTTAACATAGGTCGGCCCCCTTAATCAAATTTTCATTGTTTCAATGATTTTTTTTCTCAATGTATAAGATTAACTTGATTGTTTTGACTGTTAGTTTACGTTTTTCTTACACTCGCCACCTCGTGCTCGTGAGTAAAAGCTAAATTTATCTTAGATGGGCACATCTATAGCTACTACACTAACTTTACTAATTAGCGATCGACGTGAGTAAAAATCGAAAGGACAGAGTAATTTTTTTTTTTAATTTTTTCTTGCTAAACCAAGCTTAATTTCCAATGTAATTTTTATTTCATCGAGTTTTGACGAATTCCTTATATGTAATAATAAAATTAAATGAATATAGATGAAATAAAAATAACCAACGCTGCATTTTATTCGAGATACTTTTACTGAGGATCTTTGTAGAAAAATAATGCATCAGTACTGACTTATTTTTCTATATTAAACAAAATTTAAATCTTTACTGACAAACGTTCAGGTTGAAAATTCCAGCTTCGATACTAATTTATTGTTGCATTAATTATTGAATTAAAAATTTAATCATGATTAAAACCAGTCACCACCGCTAGATGCCGAGAACCTTTAATTGTCAATCCACAAGCATCAAAGTCAAAATAATTGCATATAACTCAAAGCATGGTTTTGAAGTGACTTGTGGATATCCAAAGACTTGTGAAAAGTCCAAGTAAGGATATGCCTATGATTTATTGTTTATTATGACCTGTGATTTATTATTTATCCGCCTAAATGTTTAATAATTACCCATTATAACGAATAAAAAGGATGATACCGTATTACGATCTGCTGCCCCCTTCGCGGCACACACACAATATGCAGCGCACGTTGAAACAAAAAAAAACATGAGTTGCTGCACACTTTCGATTTCTAAGCCCATTATAATTCGCATAAAGTGCACGGCGATGCGTGCCGTACGCGGGTAATTGCACGTTGCGTACGTTTACGCACACATAGACACACGTACTCGAGCTCTTGGAATGGATAGACGAGCGCATAGTACATAAGGTCAGACGAAGAGTTTATTTGCTAAATTATTCATTCGGTTACGCGTATACCGTCTATCGTACACTGGACACGTTCCGCGCTGATTTCTTTTTACTCTTCCTTTCTATACGCTGTGTACTACAACAGCAGGAGGACGCGAACTTTTGCTTTCGCAGGATTAGCTCCCGGTCGGCGCCTCCCTCCCTTCCTCTTCTGGCAGTGCAGTCTCGACACACATATTCATTTATGTTGTACACATGCGCTCGACGGTGCGGCGATCTTGGTTTATTGAACTTGCCGTTATGTTATGCTCGCGATGCATCGCGCCGCGCGGACCCCGCATTGCTCCGGACTGCACCAGCAGCCGCGGCAACAAGTAATTAGGCAATCGCCCGGCGGACGAGCAGTTAACCTTTGCACAGTTACTGCAGCCGATGTTGTTTACAAACTGGGCCGCGTACATCTCCATTTCGTCACTGTACATAACGTACGTATAAATAGATTTTAATGGGAGAAAATCGACGTTCTCGATCCTGTACGTGTATAGCTGAATCGCACGTGAATCGTTACATCAAGTTTTTGAATAAAGTATTTGAAGAAGTCTTGAGTCGTTTCTCGATCAATTTGAATAATGTATAACGTTTTTTTATCCTTTTTTGTTACAGTCACGAGCTGCAGACTTGCGATTGGCCTCGCAACGTCGGCTGTCCTGAAAACAGCGCACCCAACAAGGACCTTGACGATGATCCACTTCTTGAAAGGTAGTGCTTTTACGTATAAAAATTGAGTGTGTTCCTCACTTTAACTATAAAATATCACTTAAAAAATTGATTTTTGATTGTTGTAACGATTTTTTGGCATTGGGAAACGTGGTGCATTGAAAAAAAACTATTTGAACTATGTCGGAAATGCTCAACATCGATAATGTCATGGTGACCGAAAAATACCATTTAAAATGTTTTAAATATAGTTAGTCATACCATGTATTGACTTGTTTTTAGTCATTTTTTTGTTACAATCATGTTACACATATTAGGTAAATTTAAATGATCTGACAATGAAAATGTAATTGTTTTACGAAACTGAGACCAGTTTTCAATCACTTTAAAAACATTAATGCTACTTTAAGTTTTCATCACTAGATGGCCACCAACTTCTTTTGAAATTCTGTAAGTGGCAAAGTGGAAATAATTGTATAAGATACTTCTACTTTCTGAGACAATCCAGTAATGTTAACTTATTGGATAGTTTTGTCCGCTTCAGCCCCTATGAATATTTTTCATATACTCGTTTTGACTCGCGAGCTTAGTTACCATTTTCGAAAATCGCAGACGTGATCTCGCGCTCAGACGTCGATCTCGATCTGTATAATATATATAAAAATCTCTCATCATGTGTCCAAGTGCCGATCGCGCGTCAGACACTACACTGCAGTTCGCGGCATTCTTTTGGGCTTTTATCTAAGTGTCGAATCGCGCGCATAATTTTTCTGATGCATTTCGCGCTGGTGCGCGCACACTGCGGCCACTTTCCATTTTGCACAAGACTCGATTAATCGATCGATTGGCACTTGTTCATTGGCCGATGACGATGATCGAAATTAGCGGACGAAAAAAAAATAAATTTGTATAAATCGTTCGAAACGCGGTGCGCGCGAAATTTCCATTTTATTTTTCATAACCGGTTTAACGCGCGTGCGCGAGGCACCATAATTACGTATTTGTAAAAACAAATCGCAACGCGCGCGTACATATATATATTCAATTACGTCGAGTGTGGCAGGTGTAATAAGCAGAAAAAAAGCAACAGCGGCAGACCGACAGTTCGCGCGCGGACCCGAGCAATTGATTAATCAAACACGAGTCGAGTTAATATTTGCAAAAAGTTGTCAATCGCATATCGATGTATGAGCGGTCGCACCTAGCCCTGTATACACACTGATTTCATTAACATTCTTCGCGGGTAATGTAATTAAGTCGTGTGTGCGACAATTACGAAAAGACAACAGGTAGTGAGGTGTCTGTTTTTTTTTTTTTTTTGGGGGGGATAAGATGTTTTGTCATCGATAGTCTTCCTCGATCGTTCAGCCTATCGTATCCGTTAAAAAATTCTTGCGGTGAAATTCCTCAAATTGCATAATGATTAGTATTATTGTTAGCGACGGTTGGCCGAGCAAATATACACGAATATTTTCAATCTAGTCGCAGTTTTGCATTGCAGAATCAAGTTCGATTGCGCGCGTATAGCAAAGAGCCTAAGAAAAAAAGTAAATAAATATCAAACGAAAATAAGTAAGAGAAACAATAAAAAAAAATACAAGGCATTTCCACATCCACGAGTTCTCCGAGTGTAATTCGAAAAAGAGATATATGTGCGCCTGACGTAACTCTCAAATTTAAGTTATAATATCGAGCACGGTTGATCGATTTTTAACTACATAATTACTTTTGCCGGCAAAATTAACTATTGAACAGCTCGTCGACGCTTGTACAGTATACGTACGATCGATCACTTTTTTCTTTTTTCATTTACGAATGCACGTGTATGTGTCTGCGTTTTCTCGAGTTCGCTGTCAGAGTTCCCACAAAGTGTTATGCGCATTTTATTCATAAACTTTCAAAAAGATCGTGTATCGCAGCAACAACAACAACAACAACAACAGAAACAACAACAACGAGTACGCGCGCTTTTTTCCCGCCTGTAAAGAGAAAAAAGAATTATCCTTCTCGTATACGTAGACTCTTTGAATAACAATTATCAATCCTGAAAGAAAACGATAGTTTCGAAGCCGATATCTCGATAAAAACGTATATATCATAAATTACTCATACGCTCATCGAGACGTTGTATTTATATTATTATTCGACACACCCCGCATAAAGCGTTGATCCAATAAATCCTGTATAAAAAGGGATCAATTGGCGGTCCGAAATATACAGCATTATTATAAAACTGATCGAGCCCGAAATCCGATAAAACGTTTATAACAAGGACGCTGTACAGAAGAAAAGCTCGCGCATAATCAGACTCGCGAGTATACACGTATAGAAAATGAAGAAAAAGCGTCGGCGCGAACCAGTCATAATAACGTACATATATGAACGCACGCGTACGTTAACGGCCTTATCGGATCTCGGCGGAATATATACCCCCGCATTTGGCGCGCGACTCGCAGATAAGTCCCGATGATAAGCTCGCTATATTATACGTAAGTTTAAAAAACAATCGCCGCGCAGCTACCGGTGGTCATAATGTATATTATAGAAAATGAAAATTTACTCCCTTTCTCTGTGTCTTTCTCTCGTTAGAGCGGAGCTTGGCTCGTTTAAATTATTGTCCGATATGGAAGCAGAGAGTTAGAGCTGAATTGAAAGAAGGAGAGAAAATATTGTGCGAGTTGAAGGCAATGTATACAAAATAAGCTGAAGGGGCAGGTACTCGTTATCAGCGTATTGTAAAGCTTCTGCCGCCATGACACTAACTCTTTATAAACGATCAGCGAGAGGAATAGCCGAATCTATAAATCAGATTCAGTAGATCAAAGTAACCTTGAACGCGAAGATATTATTAAAAAATATTATTGCTTTACTTATACCATCAACTTGATTGTTTCGATCGTGTGTTTATGTTTATCGCGCACTCGCCACCTCGCGCCGATCGAAGCAATTGTGACACGTGGACGGCGTGTGAATGATATCAGTCAGATTTAACACATTTAGACTCAGAGACTACCGATAGATGTCACCGTCGAATCCACGAGTAAAACTCAAATTGTGGTGTATACCGTGGAAATTTTCCTTGGAAAAAAGCCGGTGCACTTCAACTGCGGTCTCTGGTGTTGGGGGTCACACCATTATCAAAGTGAAATTTGAACTCTTTTACATTTCGACATTTTCAGGAATTAGTAAAACTTGAACTTCAACAAATAATTCCAAGTGCCACCTTTTTGAATTTATACATGTGAACGTATATGCCAAGTATGCGCATTATTTTACCTCTGAAAAAGAGAGCGTAAAATTCGAGCTTAAGCACGCCGCTGCGTACGGTCAAATGAAAATACGACCCACGAGTTTTATTTAAATAAGCGTGTAACGTATGCACGGAAGCGCCGCTGTGGCTGCGGAATTTATTTATATATATTTTTAACTCGAAACAATTTTTTTGCTCTAATTTTCGCTATATATACGTATCGTATAATACGCTCGCTTTCTCCGATAGAAAAATATGTGTATACCGTGTATGTATTTCTAGCTCGAGCTACACAGTCCTGTCAGCAACTAGGTTGTAATATTGAATTTAAGTTTTATATTTGCTCAGCATTCTGCAACTGGGGTTGCCACTAGTTATACACTCGACGTGTCGAGAGTGATATTTTCCGTGAATGACACAACGAGCTATTGAGTCGGTGTAAACGATGAAAACCTTTTGTTCGTGTATGAACATTTATTCAAATCTATACACGATCAACATTACTAAAGACCTAATGGTCAAAAAATAGCACTTAAAAATGTTTCAAAATAAATGATTATTAACTGGCTTGCATGCACAACTGCACACACACTGCAGTGTTCAAAAATGATCCATAAAATGTTGAGCATTTCCATCAGAGTTTCTATATTTGCATACCAACAGTAAAATACATTCTTCAATTTGAAATTTTGCAGAGCCGAAAAGGCAGAATCCATTCAGCAACATCAGCACCAGCAGCCCCAGCGCATTCAGCAGCAGCAGCAACATCAACAGCAGCAGCAGCAGCATCAACAGCACCAACAGCAGCCTCGCGCCTTCCCGAAATCCATCACCGTCTCGTCGACGGCCGCCATAATCGAGCGTCAGAATCAACAGCGCCAACGACAACATCAGCAACAACAGCAGCAACAACAGCAGCAACAGTCGCAGCAGCGCACGTATCACGACGACGAGTACGAGCCAGCCTCGGAAATCGAGAGCGATCGGCAGCAGCGAGTCTATCGCGGACAGCCATCGACCGTCGGTCAAGTAGCCCGAGATCGAGATGGCCTCAGGAGAAATATCATTTCCGTGAGTTATATTACGAACGATTAATTAAAATTAGCGCCGTAGTCGCATCGACCTTCATCTTTGCTTCAAAATCGATCCTCACTTACGACGTAAGACTGTCAAAGTCAAAATCAAGCCACTACCGATCTCAGCCGTTCAAGACGGTTATATGTATCAGCCGATTGAAATTTAATTTGCCGCTGTACGTACACATTAAAATAATCTCGCCTTTCGATCTGCGCCGTTTGTGCAGTTTAACTTCAGACCGCGTAGAAACGTTACTTTACACATACACACACACACATACAGACGTGCTCCCCCAAAAATCTCCAACATCGAAAGGCAAAACGACGTTTTCGCGAGTCTCTCTGCTCTTATGATCTCGTGCTCGCGCGCGTTGGTTAAGAGCACAGAGAGAGATAACGAAGAAAATCTCACTCAAAAACGCGGAAGCTGCCGCGGCGAAACACACGATGAGGCGCTCGAGCAGCTAAAAGCAGTTATTATCGCAGCTCTAGCTCTCCTACGTATACTTCATGTATACGGAGCCACGAAATTCGGTAATAAATTAAGTTCAAGGCTATCATTATTGCGCGCGCACGCCACCGCGCACAAAACGGAAAATCGAGAGAAAACTCGCGCGTCTAGGATAGCGTGGCGTAGCGAGAGTAATTAATGCTTTCCGCGCCACGCGAACAACAACAGTTGCTGAGCAGGATTTTTGAGGTAAACTCGACACATAGTCCACGCGCACACACACACACACAACGAGCTGTGTAATGTAGTAACTTATGACAGCGCGGGAAAAGGTGTTCGATGCGACTCGCGCATTTTTTCATTGTCATGCGATAACAAGACCGACTGAAAATTACCAATATAGTTGATAAATATCGATATCTTATCTTTGCTTAATTTTACAGGAACGAGAAAAGGACCGTATCGTTAGTTCTCGAGGCCAACAAGAAACTCATTACAGGTCAGTGCACAAAAACTTATATATAGATTATAATTATAAAACGTTACATGCACAGACTCACGAACGAAACTCCGAGTTCGTTGACCTTTTCTCTCCATCCCACTGCACTTATAATTACACACATACACATTCATATAAACAAACTCACGTTTTGCGCTCTCTCATTCTACCAGAAGTGTGTCGTCCGAGGCACCGAGGATCGCCAAAGCGAGCGCCTCCACCGCGGCGCCGATAGTCTCCAAGTCGTACTTCAGCGAGCCCGACCAAAGCTACCCTTACTACACCATCTACGATGACGACGTCTCCATTTACAAGGACGACGGTATGTATATATTTCGATGATTCTTGAGTGCACTTCTATATACTGTACACACGTACTCGCCGAGAGAGCAGTGTGTATACCACACACGCGCACGTCAATCAAGAGCCGCGGCCGAAAGAGAGAGAGAGAGAAAAAAAAATATTAGCAACGCAAACACGCACCTGTGTGTGCACTCGTGAAAGTCAATCTTCGAGTACGATTTTTTTTTCTCAAACTCAAATTTACTCGCGCGCCTTACGCAACGCATGTGTATATAGTTATAACGAAAGCAACTTTTTTACGGGCATTAGGCGTACAATGGCAAACGATGTTTTTATATATCCATTAGCCGCGTGTATACTGCTATGCACCGGTTGATTTTCGCAGCTGTTAATTATTTTTGCTTCGAATTCCTCTCCGAATTGAAAAATCATCTCGCGCCGAGCAGCGCGCGTTGTTGCAATAATTATATTTGTGTCTATGTATATGCACGAGAGCTAGTTAGACAAATGATTTATCGAGAAGCGTGGAAAGTTTTTCGAATATGCTATTTAATCTATTTCAAAGTTTCAATTTTGCGTGTGTACCCAGATGATTTACAGCTAATCTATATGTGTAGCAACAACGACTGCGCTGTATATGGACTGCAGAGCGCCGTTGATATTAATTTCGTGTACGGATGAATTATTAGATCAATTTGTTAGTTTTGATGTACGTGAGAAAAATTTCGATCGAGAAGTGCAACATATGCTATTCGGTGAAACACAGTAAAAAAAAAAATTGCATGAAAATCGTTAATTAAAAAAATACTTAAAGAAAGTATACATATTTTTACATTAATGTCAACTTTAATTTTGCAGCCGATTACAATCAATACGCGCTGAACGCATCGCTCTCCATTCCGTCGCCACCACCTCAGCATCAGTTCAATCGCCAACAGCAGCAGCACCAACAGCACCACCAGCAGCAGCAAAATCAGCATCAACAGCAGCAGCAACAACATCAACAGCACCAGCAACAGCACCAGCAGCATCACCAACAACAGCAGCACCAGCACCAGCAGCAACAGCAGCATCAACCACCGCCACCACCACCCCCGCCGGTGAACATTCGCGCCGAGGTGTCGCCGAGCTCCAAGCCGTTCTCCATCAAGCCGAAGAAGATCAACGTCCACGAGGCCGACAAGTACAATCTCAATCAGGACGTTACGATTCAGGACTACGACATCTACGATAATCAGGTTTGTTATAAACGAAGACGTTTTTTTTCGCTCTTTTCTCTCTCGACTAATACAAACGAGCTGCTCGTCGTCGAGAGAGACAAGAGTGAAATTCGTCCCTGTTATAGTAGCTGATGCTGCTGCTGAGCGCAGAGCATGAATAAATCATTTCGATCGGCATTTACTGCTACTGCCGTAGAAACCGCAATGCGCGCATTAAAACTCATCTAATATATACGTTTCTTGATTATTTTACAGCATCTGAGCAAAAACAAATTCCGCCTGTCTGATGGACACTCTGTCAGGTAAATATACACATACATGATTTGCTCGTAAACAAATACATCGTATAGAAATGTTTACAATTTCTCATTCGCGTATACGATTCGTATACGATTTTTCTTCGTGCACTCGAATAAAACTGAATTTTTCTGAATTATTCGCAGACCGAACATCATCAGCCATCCCGTCGTTCACGTGACGACTCCGAATGCCATAATCGACACGTTCATTCCCCTGACGACCACGACCCAGTCGCCAGTGACCAGTCCACGCTCGTACTCGGCCAGTGCTCCGCCTCTCAGGTAGGTCACAAAAAAAAAACAAATCGGTTATTACTAGTAGCGATCGATCTCGGCCGCAAAATTACGTAAAGTGATTCATCGTGATACGAGCCTCGAACGTTTAGAGTTATAACGAAACGAGATACGCGGGTCCGATGGAAACCGTCCGCGACTTGGAACAATTCAACTTCGTGATTGACCACTAGACGGCGTGGCGACACCCATCACCAAGTGGTCCCCGCTGGTAGCTAAATTTATTTAACGCCTATAAAAAACTATCAGTTTCAGGCCGACATAGTTTTAAGTTATGTTCGCATAAAAATTTTTGCTGGAGCGACAGCGGTATTACAGGCTGCACAATTATAATTTTTATCTCGTTGGACTCGCTTTATATCGTGGGCGCGCTTACATATTTTGAGCCGCAAATCCACAAGTGTATTATGAATAAGCTGGACAATCGCGCGCTTATTATAACGGAATGAAAAGTCGAGCGGAAAAAAATTACAGTACCGATATATACCTACGTACATGACCGGGGCAAGGTCGGTCGCTTGCATCGTGATTCGATCAGCAGCAGCACACGCGGATAAACCTGCGCGAGAAGCTAAGAGAGAGAGAGAGATCATATTTCGCGCGCTAAACAATCGAACACACGTTGTTGTGTGTAGCTGCTGCTGCTCAATGTCGGCCAAGACCCACTTATAGACTCCAGCTTATGTACTACTACTCTCGCACGCGGCATATGTAACGTGCATATATCGACGAGCCGTTGCTGCTGCTGCATTCGTACACATGTATATGCACACACATCTCAAGTCTGAGTGCCGTACGTGATACGCCTTATGAAACTCCCGCGCGCCACTTTCTTCCTTTCTTCCTTTCTTCCAGCAACTTGTGCAAAAGTCCGCGGTGCACGGCAGCTGCCGATGATATATACAACGGACTTTTGTCATTATATTACTATAGTCTTTTTTTTTTTGAACGCATAACTGCAGCTATTAACACGAATTTTTCTTTGTTTGTTTTATCCACAGGAGCCGCCAACAAGTCAATCGCGGAACTGCACCACCGTAAGCTATAACATAATATACCCGATTCATTTTATGATATACGTTCGTTAAGGATATTATAATTGCTCGCGCTGCTCGCACGATCGATTTGTGTAATAAAATTATGCGTTCGCTTGTGGTTTTCTAGACTGCAGGTTTTCTTCGATATATTTAAACCAGACGCGCGCGGTTTTCATCTGTTTTTTTTTTTTATTTTTTAATTCAAGATAATCTCGATTTAGGTCAACGTTTCATAAAGAAAATTTATCGCGTCGCTTATGCACACATACACACGCTCCAAAATGATGCAAAGAAAAAGTGTTGCGGCACTCACACACAGACACACGTGTGTATGTGTACGCGGCTAGAGCTATATTATATTATGGTCGTTTCGTCGTCGTCGTCGTCGCGCGCATAAGATGACGACGGCGACGCGGGTGATTAAAATGAAAATAAAAATTTTATTAAAAAAAAAAAACTGTTAAAGTCAAGGCTCGCGAAACGCGTATAAAAATGACAAGCATGTCTCGAACGTTTATCCGCACGGGGAGAGAAAGAGAGAGAGAGAAAGTATACCTTACCTATGGCCGCGCGACTTGAAATAATAAGTTAGTCGAACAGTAAATCACGAATGGCGCAGCTGTAAATTTTACTCCCCCTTTACCGTAGGGTCTAGGATAGGATAAAAAAAATTCCTAGAGAGTTATTACGCGCATCGAATTCGTCGGATTCTCGCGACGAAGACGATCGATTGGTTTTCTACTTCGATCTCGCTGCTGAGCGTCTTTTTTACATAATTTTCGCGCTGCGCAGAGATGCACCCGAGACAATAAAAATATTTGTAAAGTAGAACCGATCGCGGCTATGTAGCGAGATTTTTTTTACGCTCGCGCCATTAAAACAGACGCGAGCACGTCGTTGAAAACATATTCTCAACTCGTGTCGCAAATATATCGACTGTCACGCGGTTAAGACGATCGCGACGTTTACTCGCTTACGGAGAAAAGAGAGTATATAGAAATCGATTGGTTTTTTTTTGCGTAGAAAATTCAGCAGTTTTAAATCGACACACGCGTGGACTGTTTTCTAATGTGTATATCTTTATATTTGACAAATTATATTTTTCAAGATACACGATACCGGCTTGAAATTAAGCAATTTGCACTGATCCAATCTTAATTTTGTTCGTAGAAGTTAAATAATTAATTTTCAGCACAAATGTCTTAAACTCGTTAAATAATAAACTTTTTTATGCCCTGGCCGAGACTGTTCACTGATGGGTGGCAACAAGACACCTAGCGGCAAGCCGCGAAGCTCGATTTAATTGAGTCGCGTGCGTGAGTTATCAGCGTCAGTCAACGTGAATTTAAAAAATTATAATTATGATGAATTTGATAAAAAAAAAGTAGAAGAAGACAATCGATGTCAATGCAAAAGCTTCAACAGTTTTGATGCGTAAATATTCGATCGAAAGCGCATCGTAAAAATAACTCCACAAGAGTTCTCTGTCTTACTCTTACTCTCACTCTCTGGCGGTTGCGACACACCTGACCCGCGCGTGCAGCTCGAGCGAGACAAAAAAGAAAGAAAAAATAATAACAACAACGGTCGATCGCGCATTGAAACGCGCTCGCGAGCTCGAGTTACGTAAAAGTCACACGTAAACGAGCGATTTTATTTAATTATATTAACGATCGAACGATTATTAATGCGTATAGACGCCTACGACCGACCTTGAAGCCATCGACGGAAATCGTCTCGAAAGCCCAAGAATTCGTCGACATCTATCGATTCCCACCGCAGAGGCCGGTCAATATTTACCCGACCCCGACGCCCGACAAGCCCGCGGCCAAGTGCCGCAAGGACGTCTGCCTGCTGCCCGACTGCAACTGCGGCGGTCCGGACATTCCTGGTATGTACCATCATTCATTTCCATTTTTTTTTTACATATTTCTGTATACACAAATATATTTGAAATGAACTTCGAAGCAAAGAATCATGGGCATTGTTGGAAGTTTATGCACAAACAATTCATTACCTGTAGTACCGAATACTTGACTGTATCTCGCGTGGTCGCAAGAGTCGAATGAACACAATGAAAGCATAGGAAGTATTGCAGCTACTAATTATTTTATCCATACCACTGTATTTAGCGATCAAAAAATCAATCAAAAAAAATTTTAACTAGGAACCGCTTCATTAATTAAAACTATTGTCTATCAGGATGCCAATTAAGGCATCACGACGTACGTTTGGCTATCTAATAGTTTGGACTTTATTTGTATTTAGCAGCAGCAGAAAAAAAGTTGGTCTTTGTCAATGCACACACTCGAACATAGCATACACATTCATAGAAGAGCTGAAAAGATTGTCTTCATTGTCAGAGGAAAATATAGCTCAGTCATCAATGAAGTTAAAGGGGGGTCTTGAGAACGCGCATTAAAAAAAAAGAACTTTTATATAGACCATCAGCGTGAGAAATCATAAACGTTCGCGAGCATCGTCTAAACATACACATATACTCGAGTTCTTTCTCTCTCTTGTATACATTCGCGATAATTTTAATGCAATTTATAAACACAGCGGCGCATATATACACACATACACAACGTCGTCGACATCGCCGCGGACAAAGCTGCGCCGAGCGGAATAATATTCGTAATAAAAACCTTCGCTATGGAGCAGCTATAAGAATGGCTTTTTACCGCGAAAATATGTAATCTATATGATTCGAACAGGTTGGCAATACGGCCATATCTGTAATAACTTATACCGAACGCGCCTCTATACGGAATAGACCGCAGAGAAATCGTAGAATTACGTGTCTAATAATAATGATTTCTTCTATCTGCCATCGACATCTCTACCTGTGTATTTGTGTATATTTGTGTATTATAAACTATACGGAACAAGTGTTTATCCTGTGCTGCATTTGTAGATAGGAGCCAACGATATCGCGTGTAATGCCACACACATTCACACACGGGTGAACCTGCGCGCAGGGATCATATTAATACATGATTTATGCGCCATGTAGCTAGCTCACCCGTTGAAAATTTTCTTGCTTTGTGATCGACGAGACTTTCGTTCCGCGTGTGACGATGGGGCGCGGGATATTGCATTTTTGAGGGAGAAACAAAGAAATAAAAATTAGTTCAACCCTGTGAATAACAAAGTTCAACTTTGCCTCGAAAGATCTCTCGAAGCGCTCGCTCAGAGCTGTAACATTTTTTTTCCATGTATGTTTGCCAACGTTTTTGACAAAAGTTGCATTTGTAGCCTAAATTATGTGTTTCATATTTACCCATCTACATAGCCAGCAAACTCTTCGGATAAATTTATTGCTCTGTATAACACTATGGCTGCTGTCTGTGAGAATTAATATTCGCGAATTACGCGATAAGACACTCGCCGAAGTGTACCGCAAGTTTCGCTTGCTCCAAGCTTCGGAGCTGGCCGCTGTAGATGGCGTCTCAGTACCCATCACTTGACGGTCCCTGCAGGGTAATAAAGCACTGACCACCTAGTCGGGTGGTATTCAATATCTCTTTTAAAAATGTAAGGAATATTTATTTACATTTGATATTTAACTCAAGCTTCTTGGCCGGTAACAATAGATGGCGCGTCACTATACCCATCAGCGAATAGTCCCCGCAGGAAGATAAATTATTCGACACTATTTATACTCCAGTGAGATTCTCGCGCGGCCAATCGTATCGAACTACCGAATCGTTTATTGCATACCCATATAAAAATACATCGCGGTCTGCAAAAAATTAGTTTTAATCGAGCCTCGCTGTCCGACCGAGGCGTGCGCCAAGTAAAAAAAAAAAAACGTCGCGCACAACGTCACGTGTACGTGTGTGTGCTTCGAATGTTGATTTTGACGATCGATCCGAGGAAAGCCGCGCAAAAACTTTCTCCGATTCTAACGTTACATATTACGCGGTGGCCACTGTTGCAGTCTCTTATACATATCTACATATAAATTGCCATCAGAGAGTCCGTGCGAGTATGTGCGCGCACGTGTGCATTGTGGATCGCGACGAAAGTGAAGCCCGCATACACGCACGACTCCTTATACTCGTAATATATAATCCTCGGCTGTCCATTTACGCACAGGCGCATAATTCGTGCGCGCGTGAGTGTGTGTTGGTGCGTCGTATTCCGCTCGCGATCGCATTTTGCTTTTTCCTAATGTCATATGTACGCAAATGTACTTACGTGCGTATGTAGCGTCGATCTCGAGTCCGGACGAGGAAAAACATTTCGTGTACATAATACGCGCGATCGCGTGGATTCGAGTGTATACGCGGAGAGGCAGCAGTCCGCGACTGGAGAGGAAGGAAAAATGTTGTAGTAGTCGTGACTATTACACTCGAGTCGAGCCTTATGCCACTCGATTTGAATTATGCTCGGCGAGCTCGTATGTGTGACAAATAAAATTTTTAAGATTGTAACATCGAGGCGAAGACATCACCAGTGTCTCTGCCTTGCTAAATGATGCTTCGCATGAAAAATATATTTGTATTTAGATTTTCTGACAATTTATTTGCCAATCTGCTGTGTAGATGTGAACCGCGACTAAAGTTGCCGATGTACTTATCCTACGCGTAGTAATTAAAGCGACACCATTAGATGGCGAATAAACCAATTATCGATTTCCACAAACGAATAAGTAAAATTCAAGAATCATAATCTCAGAGCAAACTTGGCTTAGTGAAGTGGTTGATTACCGATTTTTTCAAGAAAAAATTTTAATTTCGATTTAAAAAAAAGCACTATAATAGTTCCATATAATACATAAACTATAGTAATACTATACTGTACAGCTGCCTGTGGGCTATGGTGGACTTAAGTCCTTAGCCTCAATAAAGTAAATATTAAATATTAAAGTAATCCAATGCCTTCTAAATTTAGGCATTCATGTCTTGTTTTATCTGAAATGATAAATCAAATTTTTTGCAAAACTTCTTTTCTTCAATTTTATCCGCGAACTGGTACGCTGGTTGCTGTTGCTGTGCGCCTCTATGTAGTGCATCGAGTTTCTCAATGCGCAAGTGCACATAGCACGCAGACACAAAAATTGAATCGAAGTTTAAAGAATCGAGTTAAGAAATCATCATCGATCGTTTACGAGCGATAAAACGCGTGTGTTATTTATCCTTATTCATATGCATTTGCGCGTATAAGTATAAATGTATACACACACTTACATATACCGACGAAACAATAAATCCATACATGTGTCGAGCCGACCGAACTTTGATGTAAATTCGTGGCATTACAGATACGAATTTATTGCGGCGAGCGGGCGTGTATATAGCAATGCGTGCGCGCGTTTGTTTATAAATATAAGATAATAGCAATTCTTTGCGCGTCGAAAAACGTGTCCGAGAACGCGGGCACAATTCTCGCGAGCTCCCTTGTAATTACGCAATTGCGCGCGTTAGCCACTACTGCCACTACTACTACGTTTTGGAGTAGGCACGTGGGGCGCAGCCTATACCAGCTCCAGCTTCTCTGGCACACAATGAATGCATTATTAGATATACGTATTGAAAATTCGACTTTTACGAGCGGAGGGAAACTCGAGCGCGCGCGCACCTACACACGCGGACGCGGACACGAACGCCATAACGATAAGTCGTGCGCCTAATAACCAGCTGTATAAATGAGACTGAAAAGTGTTTGGACTGCGTCGCCCAAATGCAAATCATCGGTACGGGCGCGCGGCCACGTCGATATATGGTATTACTGCACCGCAGCAGCTCCCATGCATATAATAGACGCTTTTGACAAACTCGAGCTAGCGTGTAAATATATAAAGGGCGCAATAAATATAAATTTTCCACTTTTGCAAGTCTCCTTGGCGTCCTTCGCTCTCGTTTCTCGACTCGTATAATTGGTTTGTGTATACGCGTGTGTGATTTTTGCTGCCGCTGCGATTGTTTACGCGCCCAAGTGTGCTTTTCAGTGCGGCGCACATGTGTGTGCAGTGCACTGCAGCCGACGAAATAAGATAGCGATCGCGAAATGCGAAAAATCGGACGCCGCCACTTTTGCGAGTCAAATATGCTCGCCCAGCCACTGCTACTACTACTGCTGCTGCGCCCCGCGTGGGAGTGCAGTGCCGCGCATATTATACATACGTACACACGTATAATACGGCCGAATTATCATTATTCAATTGCTCGATTGCGTAACACAGATACGAACTCGACTCGCATTCGTGCATACATATACAATCCGCCACTCATGATCCAGGGGGTGGCTGGCATTCGTATAGCACACAGCTCGTTGCGCGCGCGGGTGGATACATAATTAATTAAATCCGCGCGCCGCGGCTCCATTTATCTGTCTATGTGTACCGCGATTGCGTGCAGCGATTGTATTTTAATGTCTCCGTAGCCGCGTGTCCGAAGTATACTGTTGGCCTGATTATCATACGCCACCGCGAATATGCCAAAATTTGTTTCTGAGATGTCGAGGCAAAAATTTCGTATCGCGAGTATTCACTTATTATCGGACAACTTGTAATACATGTCACGGATTTACGAAATTCGCATCTATAATTTTGCGTTGCCACCGAAAACTGCACGCGAGTTTATATGTCGTCTCGGAACTACCGAGTGCGGTGAATATAACCAACAAAATATACAGCACATAAATAACTAAGGTTTGCTTATCTCTCGGGCGCGATCTAAAAGTGACCGCCCATATCTGTATACACGCGCGGCGTTTTATATGTATGCGCGCGTTTCAATGTATCGATTGTTTGTATGGGCTCGGATTAATTAACGTCATTCTCACAGAGAGAGAGAGAGAGAGAGAGAGAGAGAAAGAGAGAGGCAAACTTTCGCTGGCTTCGACTTCCTCCCTTCTCGAGATACACACAAATTCAGGCGTGACAATTCCTGATCCCGTATCAACGTGTTAATGCTATAATATCGAGCTTAACGGGAACATCTCTTTAACTAATCGTCAAGTTCGAAAATTTAGAATTACCAACACTGCATCGGTGTCTTTAGCCACGTGCCAGAGAGAAAACGCTGGCCTGCACTATGCTGCGCATGTTGCGCAACGACGACTTCTGCAGGCCGTAGACACTTTTTTTTCTTTTCGTTATATTATAGCAGCAGCTCTGGTTGATCGCGCACTGCTGCCCACGCGCGAGCGGGGGAGAAAATCGTTAAGGAGGAGGGAGAGAGAGAGAAAAGATAGCGAAAGGGATAAAAACGCTGGTGCACAAGCCAGTGTATATACATCGGCATTGTATTCGAGCTTCGACGAGACGTGTTTTTGTTTTTCTTTCACGGTATATAATATACAAACTTTAACGCGCCGCGTGACTCGTTGATTGATTGCCGAACGGTAGCGCGGTTTAATGGCTCGAGCCGAGATCGAGGCGGCAGCAGCTCGACTTATGCAAATTTCGCCGCGCGCTACTACGCGACGATATCGGAATATATAATATAATACAAGCGGATTTTTCGAACTTTTTCGATTACCTTTTGCGAAATTACGCAACGTCGAATGGACTTTTGTTTCTGTCTCTTTTTCCATAGATAATGCGACTGCGAAAATTACTTCGCGCCTCCGTATTTCAGCGGGAGAATTAATATGAACCGACGCACGACGTCGATGATGATAATCATAAATCGTCGCCTCGGCGCTTCTTATTATGGTGTATTATACGATGAGAAAGTTTTCAACTTGAAATCATGGAAACAATTGTCATTTATTAACGCCGTTTGTAGCTTCGAAGACTCGATCGCTTTTATTTTACCTGTGATAGACTGTACACGAGGTACTCTGTGCAAAAGGTTTTTAATTTTAGAGAGATTACATATTTTTATTTGAAAATTGTACTTTACTCTCCCGAAGATTTGAGGTTGTTTACGATACCCGATATCTAACGTAAGCTTCGTGGCTGCTGACAATAGGTGGCGTGTCACTACTCATCAGCGAATAGTCCCCGCAGAAAGATAAAGAACTCGTACACACGTGACTGTTGTTTGCAAGCAAATGGAAATGTTGAATCGGTAGCGCGTTTGTCACACTCCCATACGTGCTGCGAATTCAAGCGGAACTTTCATCGCATATTAACGATCGCAAGGAAGTTACGCTCGTTCAAAAAGGAAGAAAAAAATAAGATATTTTTTTTTCTACGTATATCCCATGACTTTAATATAACTAGGAGAAAGCTGAATATGCATATGTGTACCACATGACGAATAAATAGACCCATAGAAAAATTATGCACAACTTCCAACTCTGTCATAATCTTTGCTGCTATTTTTCATATGGAAATATATTTTCTATGACTACTAATGAACATTTTTTTACTCTTTAAAATATCTAGCGACGATAAAAATAATGAATTATTTAGAAACAATGAAGATCGTTAATCTAATTAAGAAACATCACTTTTCTGCCAGTTTGAGCTTTATACAATTGTTTCATAATAAATCATAATTTTTATGTATGGTGAGTATACTCAATACAAAGAATAAAAGCTTAAGCGTAACCACGAAAAGAAATCGATTATGTGCAATGCTCCAAAAAAAAAAAAACGACACGAGAGAAAAGGTGTAAAGTATCACGCGACAAGAATTCGAAAAAATATTCACAACAACGATATTCAAGGTCACTTGACGGCCGACGAGACACCCCAGATTGTCCTGCTGACCTTTGACGACGCCGTGAACGATCTCAACAAGCAGCTGTACTCGGACCTGTTCGAGCGCGGCAGGCGCAATCCCAACGGCTGTCCGATCTCGGCGACGATGTACGTGTCGCACGAGTGGACGGACTACAGCCAGGTGCAGAATCTCTACGCGGACGGGCACGAGCTCGCCTCGCACACAGTTTCGTAAGTGTACATCACTGCAGTCGTGTGTGATGACTTTGACGACTACGACGACGATATAGGAAAAAAAATTCACTCGTATATATAAAGATATTCATAATCGAGTTAATGGATCGAGAGAGAAGAAAAAAAAAAGATTAATGCTCCGCGAAGTCATTGCTCCCGATTTATAATACGCCGCTATGCGGTTTGACCGCAGATCGAGCTTCGAGAAGATGACGGATGGACGCGTGCCGCGCGCGAGATATTTCGCGGATCAGCGGGTCGTTAGCATGTTAAATCATTACTACTACTACTACTACTACTACGGAAAGGAGGTATAACGTTATTACGGAACACGATAGTTTGCGCGCGATGAAACGAAAACGATAAGAGAGCCTAGAATAGAAGTCCGAGTTTCGGCCCAGAAAGTTATTTATCGCACGCGCGTAGTAGTATGTGTTCGTGTGTACAGAGACGCGTTATAATTGACTATCGCGGGCCGATCGCCGAATCAATTGCGACTGCATTAACGCACAACATATACATAAAAGTCGGAAGTGCATAGCTGCACTTTCGCGCGTGCAGCTCAGCACGGCACGGCACACGACTTGTACACTCGGCGTTGGCGATCGTGTATTATATACACAAGTTGGATCATTATTCTATATACACACAGCTGCGATCCATGGGAATATCGACTGCTGCACTTATGTTGACTCCACTAGTGATCGCAGGCCCGGAAGTTAACGAACGAAACCACGAAAGTTAGAGCGAGAGATACGACTTCCAACCACTAGCCGATGTCTATCTCTATGCATTTTCGTGGTGTTTCGTATGGGCATATAAGTGCGCCGACCATTATGTGTGCGTGTGGCTATTTACGCACGCGCGTCGCATAATATATATCGCACGTCGTTATTACGGAGCATATGCATATTGCTATATACTACGCTTTTATACATACATATCGCAACTACATGGTGAATATTTCATATGCATATTTGTGTGTGTTTGTTATTTTCTCTCACTCTACGGCTGAAATAATAATATGCACAAACTCGATTTCTTCTTTGGGACATTGATCATTTTTAACAGGATTATGAGACGACGTCGCGCACATATGTACGTGTGTTAAAGCTGCGCTGCCAATGTATAATATATATAATGTAAAAACGTCAGGGCTGCCTTTCCATACGTGTAGAGTGTAGCTCATTTTCTCGACTCGACTCCAATCGGGGCCTCGGGTATGCGGCTTTCCCGAAAGAAAGGAATAAGAGGATGAAGAGAAAAGAAGACTTTTTGTCAACCTCGAAACGTATTTCATCTTTTTTTTCTTTTATTCGTAACTCTTTTCAATTTGCGCGCGATAATCGGATATGCGCATTTACCCAATCGACGATTGAAATTCGTCGCACGTGTAATCTCGTGAAATTGCGCAAAATTGTATACACGCGACGCTACGCGTGCTTTTCTTTTTTTTTCTTCAATGCTTTCCCTCTCTCTCTCTCGCTGCTTCTAAAAGCAGCAGCTGAGTGATTTTCAATGCCTCGTCCGCGTGAAATATGACGACATAAAATTAACATCGGCTGCAATCAATCAAAGAGCACCGAGGCGCGCGCATTGGACGGCCCAATGAGCTGCGCCGCGCACCGGTCATTAACGGGATGTTCTGTCTGGATGTAGCATCGGTGTTACTACTACGGTATACACGAGGTAGCTTTCATTTTTCAGCGGCGCGAAAAGCGAGGCATCTCTCGCGGAAAATGAAACTACAGCTGCTCGTGTCGTTTGCAGCTACTATATATACCAAAGCCAACTAGCATCCCAAAGATGACGATTTCTGAAAGGCCTATAAGTAGCAAAATATAGTTGAAGCAGGCACGAAGAGAGGCTCTATACAGTTATAAACGTATATACATTTGGCACGTGCTGCTGCGCCGCGACGTCTCTCATCCATTAAAATAAAATATAAAATCCCCATAAGCCACTATATACTCTACGTCGTTGCCCACATGCTGCCAAGCGAGAAAATGGAACCCAAGATACGCTCGAGTTAAATACGAGAAAAACATTTAAAAACATTTAAACATTTCATACATGTTTATCGCTCATACGTATACACATAAACGGAGGCAAAATTTCTCCGGCAGAAAAACGGGTACATTTCGCGTGTGTGTTATTTGCCCACGTGCTCACGAGCACGATTACAATTTATAATATTATTATAACAACAACAAAAGGATCGTATCATGCGCTGCATTTTCACTCTTGGCTGGCTGTGGCTCGACAACGGTGACGAGGTGGTTTTGGGGTCAAACGGAGCAGAAAATTCGTGTGTTACCCATTCACCATAATACATAATGTATAATACATGTGATAATAATACATATTCATTACATAAATATTTATATATTATTAATACATATTGCTATTGTCTTTTTATATATAAATGTTGATAATAATGCCTTATAAAACGTAACTAACTCATTTCGTTTTTTTTTCTCTCTGCCTCTCTGTCTCTCTCTTCTCCTATCTGCCAACTTACGCACAATAAAAAAAAACCACTCAATGACTTATCGATCGATTACGCACGCACGCACGCTGTACCGACAAAAAACGACAACCAAAAAAACACGACTCGATGCGTAAAAAAAATCAACCCCCCTCGAAAACCCCCTCGAATCCAAATGTAGGAGACTACCTGCCTGAGGAGATCCCGCAAATCGTCCTGCTGACGTTCGACGACTCGGTGAACGATCTGAACAAGGGCCTGTACGCCGATCTCTTCGAGAACGGAAGGAAGAACCCGAACGGATGTCCCATTTCTTCGACCATGTACGTGTCGCACGAGTGGACCGATTACAGCCAGGTGCAGAATCTCTACGCGGCCGGCCATGAGATCGCCTCCCACACGGTCTCGTAAGTATAACAACACGATCGTCGCGGTGTGCAGAAAAATTATACAACACCGCGATACCGATCCGAGAGGAGGATCCGACCCAAATAATTGTCTTGTTATGTATTTATAATCGAACGCGTTGTCGTGTGTCTCTTTTGCTCATGCTTCTGTCTGTCGGATGTCGCTGGCTCTTTCTCTCGCTCACTCACTTACTCATTCACTCATTCATTCACTGTGTATGTGTGTGCATGTCTTGTCACATCGGACCTTTTTATACGTTATACAAACTAACGACTCTGGTATATACTGTATATTATCTCGCGCTGCATTAAGCACGACGACGTGAGCTGTGCACAGGCTGTAACACCGCAGCAGCTTTCGCTCTCTGCTCGTCGTTCTTTCAGCAGCCGAGGCACACGTGTTGTTTTCATGTACAGGATTGTAACAAAAAAAAAAAAAAAACATGACGTGACTGTCTATATGCTAAGTGTTGCCGGGCTTATTTGTGTCTAACATCGGATATTGCTATACTCTTTGCGGACTTGACTAATTTTCTGCCACCATATATATTATTTAAGAAAAAAAAAACGATAAGCAGTTTGCCTCGTCGGGATTAATATCGGCTCTAGCGATCGTGGCTCTTCGCGCTTCCCTCTATTTTTTAGACGTGTTCTGAAACGTTGAACGATCGCCGACTTGTATCACCTATTGCAACGTCCGTTCGATGTGTCAGACTGTCCATATTATATATTGTATTAATACAATTGCACCGCAAGAGTTTACTCGTGTGCGATGTATTTGTACAAACTGACACACCGTCGCGCTGCACGTAAATCGTTACATTATTGTCAGCTCGCGTACACGTGCACAGATGAACTGGACTAAACGCTCTCGATACCGATAAATGCGAATGAAGCTGAAGAAACAATTTTTTTCTATTTTTTTCTTTGATATAAAAATGTACAGCTTAATTGAAATTAATGGTAGCAATTTTTTTATCGGCACGTTACAACAAAGTTCTGATTTGATAAATTGAAACCAATTTCAAAATTCGGATAGGGATATACATTATAAAAAATTTTACTTGTTGAATTATACCGACGAATGACGTACTCGATTGACAGCTATACGTGCGTATGTGTGTGTAAATCGACGCTGTTAAGGAAGAGTAGCACGTTTCTATACATTTTTAAATGTAAACGTGCTAGTCTTCCTTAACAGCATCGAAATGTGCGACTGCGCGTACGAGCGATGTGATATCGAACAATGTGATATTCTTCTAGAGATTTAACTTATTGATTGTTCAAAGTTTTCGGGTTCTAAAGATCTATCGCGAAAATGACGATTTAATTGTTTTAACCACTTTGAGTACGATAATACCATTTAAAGTCTCTACTACTAGATGGCGAGTAATATAGATCTGTAAATCTGCAAGCGACAAAGTAATAATAATTGTACAAGTCAAAGCAAAGTTTCTTGCATTTGGAAATAATACCGTTCATTCCATGGTTAAAAGCACGTTTTAACGTATTATTCAAAATACCTTTCAATTTCAAAGTTTCAATACTTTCAATTCAATTCAAAGTTCAAATAATTTTATTTAATTTAAATGAGCGAATTGCATTTAATTGACGTTGTAAATTTGTATCAATACGATAATGCCACTTGAATTCGCCGCCACTAGATGGCGAGTATTATAATTTGTAAATCCCCAAGTGACAAAGTAAGAATATTCTTATAAGTCAAAATATTTTTCAATATTTAATATCACGGACTTCATGTTAGCACTGAAAAATGTCACACTTCGTTACTATCCCTCGCTCGTCGACGACGAAACTCGAGGCACCGGAACTAACGATTATTTTTTTCTCTTTTTTCTCCGCAATTTGCGACAAACAGGCACAGCTTCGGCGAGCAATTCTCGACTCGAAAGTGGGCGCGCGAAGTCGCAGGACAGCGAGAGATCCTCTCGGCTTACGGAGGCGTCAAGCTCGAGGACATCAGAGGCATGAGAGCTCCATTCCTTTCGGTGAGTACAGCAATAACACGTACAGCTCGTTAATATAAATTCGCTGTATAATTATGATCGATTTATACGTACGCACCCGCGTAATAATATGCATTCGTACATTGTAATATGAAAAAACGCATCCATCTCGTTCTGCTTTTGATACGATGATTACTATGGCACGAGGTAATTCAATTATACTCTTATATACTTGATAATGACGTAACGTTGGGGTTAAATCGAGACCAGCAGCAGCAGCATCAGACGCATAAACATTCCTGCCAAAAGAAGTGATTTCAATGCGCGTTAATATTTATGCGTTTCGAAAGGCGGAGGACCGCGACCAACACATATCGTGTGTATGTGCACTCTCAAGAGTGAATCGAACTGCCTCATAATGCTAAATAATTAAGTGCGCAGTACAGCAGTGTATTATATACGCACTTTTTGTACATAAAGTGTGTACGCGCGCGAGGACTCGCTGCATTCCGAACCGATTTTTTCGCGATTGCGCAATTATCGTTATGACGAGATGCAGCGGCTGTGGCATCATCGCATCGCCGAGACTACACACCGCCAGGCAAACTTATTTATGTAGCCGGAGGGTGTCGGTGACTCGAGGAACGCGCGTATATATATGCGAATACGTACAAAAAATGTCCGTAAATTGAATCGACGACGACGACGACGACGACGACAAGCCTGAGGAGAAACGACGACCCCAAAAAAGCAACGGGCCTCTTTCTCAAATACACGCATATACAAGTAATAATATGCGTATTATAAATAACGCGCGCGCGCATACACGGATTATTATTGCTCTGGGGCATATACGTGTGTCTTCAGTGCATCGTGCCGAATGCACGCGTTGAGCAACATCATCGTGTCTTAATGGCCCGCTTCGGGATTTCGTGTCTTGATGGAGAGGATGACACTAACTCGTGAAATAAGCTATCGCGAGGCTCTCTAAGCCGCTGTAACCTTTTGACACGCGATCTCTCGGCGATGTCAGAGGCGCTCGAGCCTCCCCTTCGCCGACGCGGCGTCGGCTCGTGTGTTGTGTACTTTGCAACGCGAAGTAGTTCGTGTGTATACATTCACCTCTCGTCTCGTTCGTCGTCGCGATTCCCTCGGTCACGTTATTTTCGACTGCCTGCCTCAGCTATTACACAGCAGCGAGGGAGTGATCGCCTCGTATATGTGTGTGTGCATAAAAATTTCAACTTATATGTATATGGATTACACCACTTTTCCGTATATAGTGTAACGACGACGTTCTTTCTCGCGCGATCGAAAATCCTTCTCAGCAGCTCGGCTTATTGTATATACACACGCTGGTATAGAGTATAATAGCGATTTCGAGGACTTTTCACGACGACGACGAGAGTCTCGAGTGTCTTGATTGCGTTGCATTATACTACCTGGTTTCGACACCGTTCCGCAAATGGGCTATTATCGGAAAATTTTGTAAAAAGACCTGGATCGTCGGTGTATAAAAGCCTTTTTTATTGCCCCTTGACATCCGAATAGTTATTGTAATACGATATATTTTTTATTATTCGACCGAGCGTAAGGACGACATTTTTCATATATTTACGCTGCGAATGGCCTCATCTTTGTCGCGAATCGTGTTTCGTCAGACGTTGCGTTGCTTGATATTTTTGAAAATCGATAAATATCTTTTTGTACGACTCGGTGACCAGAATATGATTACTTTAAGCCTTCGCCACTAGATGGCGAGTACTTTTGTCAGTAAACCTGCAAGTGGCAAATTAAAAATGATTGTATAAGTCAAGAGCGGTTTTTAATGTTAGTTTTAACAGTCTGAGCATTTTGAATTTTTTATTAATTGATGTAAAAATTTGGTTTTGAGACTTTAATAAGAGTCAGAAAAAGTTTATAGAAGTTATTAAAAGTTTATAAAAGTTTACAGAAGGTTTAGAAAAGAATTTTTTATAAAAAGTTAGACTCATTTTCAACCAATTTAAATACGATAATACTACTTTAAGACTCTACCAGTAGATGTCGAGCAACTGTACTTGTAAATCTTCAAGTGGCAAATTTTATAAGTCGATATAATAAGTCGATATAAAACGATATAAGTCATACAACCGCCGATTTGTCAATGCATGATTGCATTATTTTCGTTACTTCTTCTTTTTCTCCTTTCTGGTCTTGTGAGTGCTGTATAGAGCCCTCGAACTGCCACTGTGAAAGTGATTTTCGTTTCTTATGGGTAATGCTTCTGCGCGCAGGTCGGCGGCAACAACATGTTCAAGATGCTGTACGACACGAACTTCACGTACGACTCGTCGATGCCGATCTACGAGAACAGACCGCCTAGCTGGCCCTACACCCTCGACTACAAGCTCTTCCACGACTGCATGATTCCGCCCTGCCCCACGCGCTCCTATCCCGGCTTGTGGGAGGTGCCCATGGTCATGTGGCAGGATCTCAACGGCGGACGCTGCTCCATGGGCGACGCCTGCAGCAATCCACCCACCTCGGACGGCGTCTACAAGATGCTCATCAAGAACTTCGAAAGGCACTACACGACCAACAGGTTCGTATCGATAGATTATACCTATACTTTTTTTTGTCTCAAAACTAAAAATAATTTTGTGATCGTTTCTGCTTTGTAGGGCTCCGTTCGGCCTGTTCTACCACGCCGCCTGGTTCACCCAGCCCCATCACAAGGAGGGCTTCATCTCCTTCCTCGACACCATCGTCGCCATGGACGACGTCTGGGTGGTTACGAATTGGCAGGCGCTCCAGTGGGTCCGCAATCCCACGCCGATATCCCTCCTCGACAGATTCGAGCCGTTCGGATGCAACTATCAAGTAAGTTATGCCTTCTTTTTTTTCTCTTCATTAAGATCGTCCCGAGATATCCGCTAATAACTCTATTATGTACACACTTTCGCGGCGTGTAAGCAAACAACACTAGCGCAAAAAATAAAGAATCATTTTTGCTTGCATCATTTCTTCCCAGAGTAGTTTTTTTTTGTTACCTTACACGTGACCCAATTATTGAAGAAAGAATAGTTCGCTTTATAGGCGAGACATAAATTATCAACTTTCAGAGCTATCGAAACAGCACAAAGCCTTCAGAGATCTATGGATAAAATGTTGATTCACACGCGCAATATTTTCAACCATTGAACATCGATATTGAAATGTTAAAATAATTTAAAAAGTTAAAAAACGAATAGCGTTTTATTAATTACTCAACGGAATATTTCGGCCTCTCGATCGGATGCTATATACCCACCCGCGCGCAATGACTTCGTCGTTCGGTTACATTCTCTCACGCGCCAAAGTGTGAATTATCCAAACAAAGTATCACTTATCCGCGCGTTTAGCAACCGCACGCGAGGCTATACGATGAGTTACGAAAATTGAAAAATTGCGGCGGTGCGCGAGAAAAGTTCCCAAATATTATATACCATAAGCGCCGCTCTGTCTATTATAGAAACACGCCCGCGCCCGAGAGTACGACATTGGGCAAACCACGCAACACAATGTTTTATCATTATGCATAGTTTTATAATGGAGTAATGTACTAAATTTTTTCTCTCTTCTACGCAGGACCGACCGAAAAAGTGCAACAACCCGAAGGTGTGCAACCTGTGGCACAAGAGCGGAGTGAGATACATGAAAACGTGCCAGGCCTGTCCCGACATCTACCCGTGGACCGGCAAGACGGGCATCCGCAGCAGTCGCATCGACAACGACATCGAGAATCACGATTGAGCGGGACCGTTCGCGAGCGAGTCGAGCTCGCCGACGACTCCGCTCTCCCACGTCCGGAGAGCGGGGGGCGACGACGTGCAACGACGACAAAACTTTTTTTTAATTGCAACAACGTAGACGACGACGAAGACAACGAAATGGTTGGCCCACTCTCGCAGCGGCTCGACGTCGATTTTATATTATACACGACCCGTATAGGAATGTTCGTTAGTAAGCCGAATGTAATTTGAAAAGAGGAAAAAGTGTGTGCGTGTGTATACGTGTTCGTCAAAAGATTGTTGCATCGAAAGTATTTTTTTTTTGAATGATTTAAACAATTAGGATTTTTTTATATACGAAGATTGAGTTGGAATGCGCGTGAGACACGTTTCTCAACTTGTGTAATAAGATAAATAGGAAAAGAAATGGTTTCCCAAAACTCCGTATCACTTTTAAGTTTTTCGCTCGGAATATCATCCAGCCAGAATGATCGATTCGTGGCAACGATATTCCGAATTCGTAATTAACTTGAAACTGATACTGAAAGTCTATTAACCTTATAACGATGACTCCTTTGTTTGGAGTAATTGTAAGGAAAGTGTAAGATGATTTATAATGTAACTCTAAGCTATTAGGTACCTTAGAGAATTACTGCAAAACTGATTCGTACTGCGAGTACGAATGTTTGATGAATGTAATATATAAGCTTAATTTTTAGCCTATTCAAGCAATTTTTCTTATCTTTATTCCATAAATACCATTCATAGTCTATGATTCTTATAAAAATCATGATAAAGAAATTTCAAAACACTCGAATCCTATTTTAACTTTTACGTTTAAGAAAACAAATTCTTTTTCTGGCTTTTATTAGATTAAAAATCATCATTAAAAGATATCATTTGAATGAACTATATAAAATAATCAACTTGAAAAGTGAAATAGTTGCAGTAAAAAACCTTAATAATAGCAAAATGTATTTAAAGAATGAAGTTCACGCGGTGAAAAAATGTGTACTACGGTTCATGTAACACGAAGTGTGAAACTTGATTTACAAGTTTCTCAGACAATGCAAGAAAAATGACAAGCAATTTTCTATTGTAATAGACGTTCTATTTGATAAGTTAGTTTTTTTATAAGTAGATTTACGAACTGATGTAAGCATTTTGAAAGCCTTAATCTTACAAAAAATTGGAATCTTAAGTTAAAGAATATAATTTACTATTGAGATTATTTGTAAATATACTTAAAGATGAATAGACTGCCTCGATTTTGAGCCTACGAAATGAAATCGAACGCAGTCAAGTTGGTAGTAAACAAAGTACGATTGAATGAGATGATCCTCATATGGGCTGCAGATAAGTAAACTTGAACAATTTTATATCAATCACAAATATTATCGATTTACTGTTTAAGATGATTCGAAGACAAAAAAACTGCCTTGTCCACATTTGTATCGACTAGTTTTTTGTATCCTTTTTAATGGTTTTGTCATATGTAAGCATGAGGAACCGGAAGAGAGTAAAGAAGTTTGGACCAATTGTCCATGTCGAACGCAGCAATGTCTTGCCAAGCGATCTTGCTCCGCGAATCAGCGTCTTCTTCCCAGTAACAAGCCATGTCATTGTAACTTTCCGCTTTCCAAGTCTATAATATGCCAAGAAAAAAGTAATAAAAAAATTGTTATAATCATCCTTCTTATTTTTTTGTAATGAACAAATCTTGTATTATATTATACTGTAATTTTTACAATTTATATTGCATAATTTGTGCAACTTTAATATATTTTAATATACATGTAATCGATGTGTGTTTGATTCCATTTTTTTTGACCTACTCACTTTTTCGTTCTGATCGATGGTCGCCAATGACATTTTGTTACATTCCGTCGCGGCTGCTTTTTTGGCCTTTCGTAAATAAGACTTTAATAGTTCAGTTCGATCGTGCATTAAATAAAAATACGCCAAAAGCATGTAGTATTGAGATCTTATGCAGTGTGATTTTTTCTGTATGCCATTCAAAGTATCCATCAAAATTGCGATGTCTCTTAAAAGTATTTTAATGTGCTGGCCTTTTTTCAAGTTGACACATCGAAGAAGCAGAATCAAGTGACATTCTAAAACCTTAATAAAATATTGAGCATACATTTTCATAGTAATAAATAGATGGGCTTACTTTGAGCAGGGTCATAATTTGAAAATAATCCGAACTATTGACATCTTTCGCGTAAAAGTCCAAATTCCGCACGAACATCGTCGTATTGAGATAGCCCCTGAAAATTTTCATGATTGTCGCGTGAGTTACATCTTACATACGAACGCGACGGACAATCGGTAATATGTAAAAGTGCGTATGATAAAGTACTTCCGCAATTGCCACGACCAGAGACAGACCAGGAGGCGTTTGAAGCCGTTCGAGTCGCGATAAACGCATACATCAGACTTTCCTATTTTACCAAGAGAGAAAGAGAGAGAGAGAGAATATGTAAAATCATTTGTAAATGCCATTTACGCCGTTGACGCGTGAGAAGGAGATAATGCATACACGCGTCGCATAATACGACTACTTAAAGGAGGTTCTCGGGGAAAACCGATCGAGTTGAATTTACAGCGTGTAGAGATAACGGACCACTAGTTTGGTGTTAATAATCGACGTTATTTATGTCTCGATTGAAATTATTTCAATATCATACCATAGGAAAAATAATTTATTTTTCTAAGAATTGAGAAATAAAAATTTTCAACTAAATTTTGAAACCGTCACCCAAGAAACTCCTTTTCATATTCTCGTATTAAAACACCAGTAAACGCATTGAAATCTACCGTCAATCACAATTACACGATTTATATATCGAGCGCAACGTTTGATTAAAGCATTGTATTATCCGAGCTGCGCTATGGGAAATAATAATACCTATATAGTCTACATACGAACCGAGTATTTTTTCAGCGTAAGCCGAGCAAGCCTCAAAACTTTCTATTAAAATTCCGGCATCCAGTAATAAGTCCATGCACAATGCATAATACCAAGTCAGGGCTGATTTATCGATGTCTTCCAGTGAAATGTCTCGTAGGAGCTGCAATAAATCCATCGCTCTGCAAATCAGCTTCAGACGTATCTGCACCGAGAAAGAAAGAGAGAGAGAGAGAGAACGAGGTATAAATGTTTGGCTATTATTATCGAGAGCCGGTCACAAATCTTTCCCGCGAGTTTATTGTGTGTTGTGTGTTGTTTTGTGTTTGCATGTATACCAGAGCTTGCATCATGAGCGGGAGAATTTCGAACGTCAGCCGCAAAATCTGAAAGGTCTTGGATATTTGCAGCGCCATTTCTCCGTACTTGGTCGCTTTTTTCAAGTTGCCTTTCAACAAGCTACGAAAAAAATGTCAATCATTATTTCGACCGATCGAGATGGGACAGTTTTTTTTATACCAGCACTCCATCGTAGCAAAATAAACTTGAGCAAGCATGTAAAAGTCGTTGCTCCTCTTCCAGCTTTTCTTCTTGTCGATCACCCTGAGCATGTACTTTTCCACGTGGTCGATGAACGTCAGATCTCCCGATTGTTTGTACACGTTCACCGAGGCCAGATAGAGTATGCACAGCTCGTTGAAAGCCGTCAAGCTGTACTTGGAAAATCCCATTTGTAGGCTCTGCAGCGATAATAATTTGGCCAGCTTGTGTTGTTTGTTCAACTGTACGGGTCACAAATAAATTTCGTGATTATCGACGCGAATGAAAAATCGAATGCGAGCCCTGTACCATTAAAACAAAGGACACGTGACTCAAGGACGATGCCAAATTTTGTCTCGCCACCATCAAACCGTGATCGCCGAAGTACTTGAGCGATCTGGGCTGCTTGAATTTCCACCATATTTTGTGGCGCATCTGCTCGAAAAAGATGTCGTAATTGATCAATGCTTTGCTGATGCTCAAGTCGTAGGAGTAAATCGACGCCGATTCGAGATAGTTGATCGTCGCTTGAATGTAATTTCCAAGCAGCGCATTGGCATTCCCTGAATTATCAAATAAATACATACTTTATTCTGTGAGCCTTTTAGCTAGTTCATTGTTATTATTTTTTCAGACTACCTCGCAAGCGATAAATTACGCTTTTCTTGATCAATTTCTCTCGTATAATGGGAATTTTCCAGAATTCATCCGAATGATCGTACTTGAATTTATGGAATAGATATTTTTGAATAATTAAAATGATTTTGAATCATTACATTTAAGTATGTTTGCGTGAAATATGATTCTGTTCATTCGCAAATGATTGTTGATTGAGGTAGTGTAAGTTCAGGCCGCGTCAGCCAGCCTCTGAACTCACTACCGAAATTAACAATAAAGAGAAAAGTATGTATACAAAAATTGATTCGGAAACGTTGAGTCAAATCAGATTCATTTGTGCAGTAGGTGTAAGTCAAAACTACCAAAATTTACAATGAGTTGAAAAGTATTTATGAAAATTCAATTCAGTCACATTTAAACAAATCAAATTCATTGGCTCGGAACTCATCACCGAATCTTGTAACTAATTGAAAAATATTTATGATCAATTAAATTAATTATTTTTCAGAATACAATGCAAAATAATATCTAAAAAATTTGAAAAAGTAAATCTAAAATATTAAGTTAGCTGTGAAGACAGCCATCAGAAATGAAACTTTTCCAAAATTAATTTTATTTATTAATTAATTTTTCTTTTACCTCGGCACCTGCTTTATGGACACTCGTGGCACTGCTCAAAATATGAATTTTATACAAATTATCATATACTTTTCCTTTAAAACCCTCTTCTATATTTTCTCGCTCGCACGATCATCGCGTCAATTATTGTATTATACTGTCACGGGCTGGGTTTTCGAATAATTTAAATTGGAACGAAATACATTTATTTTTTCGGATAGCTGGTAGTCAGACACTCGCTTTCTTTAAACTTTCGTACTTGGATCTTTCAATCAAAAAATAATAAAAAAATAAATACATTGGTCAACCATGATCCACAATTGAAGTGTACGATTTCTCGAAAAACTCGACTACATCGAGTTTTCTTTTGAGTTTCCTGTTAAAAAAAAAGAAAAAAGCCATTCGATGATCGAGGCGTCGAGTTGTGTGTAGAAGCAGCTTAGTTGCAGTGCCTCTGTATTATTTCTACTTTCTCTTATGCTTTTCCTACTGACACCCGA